ACCGAAACTCTTACCAAATACTTTCTAATCATCTCTATGTATTCGTTTGTTCGTGTTAGGGAATAAAGTGCCAAACTCTCTGTGAATATACTGGTATATTTGTACGTAAAGTAGCGATAAAGTTAACGACAAATGTAGCTACTTTTCAAACTACGATGCTACGTCGACTACTCCTGCAATGTGGCCTGTACACTTCCAATTTATCTTTCGGCGTATTCATCGCGGAATAATCGATCGGGAACGGTACGTTATTGCCCCGAATCAGGCATGAATCCGTCATACCGAGGAAATGTTCTCCTGGACCGAAAGGACCACGGCCGAATAAAAAGTTGGCGAACACGAGCTGATACTGTGTCCAACCGAGCGGGTAGTCGCCGTTCTGAGAAAGAAAACACCATCTTTTTAACTTTTCTTTCCTCGTTTTGCATTTTCTCTCGCGCAATCGTTACGCATTTTAACCACTAACTAAAACATAATTTACCGAAGTCAAAGAGTTGTACGCCACATCCAGACACTTGGAGATCCTCTCGGGATCCAGGCCAACCACGGATCCGTAAAACGACTCGAGTTCTTTTTTCGAAATCACTCCATTCGCCGAGCCGTTGATAGCGAGGAAAAATATTCGCGGAAGAATTTTCAGCCAAAATGGAATATCGCTGTAAGTTGCGCCACCAGCAGGTGACACGGCACGGGCCCACCAGCACAACCATTCCTCCAGGCTGATCTTCTTTCCTTCCTCACTCTCCACGGCCGTCTCTTCGAGGATCAAATCCGCCAGTCCTTGCTCAACCTCCGTTAAACGCAAGTACTCTGGCCCGTTCCACGACCAATCCGCGAATCTTCTCAATCGCTTTCGCCAACAAACCTTTCCTTTTTTCATTTACCTGCTATTTAGGGGGTGTACCTCTGCATAAATCATATACATATATATATACCTCTGAAAACAGCCGAAAATCTTTTCGGCCGATGAAACCATCTTTGTCGTGGTCCAGAAGATAGATGAAAAAATGAGAGAATTTGTCCAGTTGAATTGCCGCCAGATCCTTCAATTTTCCTCCCTTACCGGCTTCTTCCGAGACGGCGATTAAATTCTCGTTGCTCGGATACCGACTTACCCAAGTCGCTATTTCACCGAGAACACACAAGAGGAAAAAAACGAAAAAACAAAAACCAGACAACCAAAGAGGGAAAAAGAGGAAGAATATTTCAGTAATATAGTACATACATACAACGATAATAAACACAGCCGTGTAAATGTAATAAAATCGTTTCTTCTTTTCCCTATTTTTATTCTCTACCGTCCTACCGTTTCACACAACAATAGTTAGAGAGAGAAAAGCTTACTCCAAACGTGCACGCTCCAGCTAGGATGTTCCAATTGCTTGTTAGAAACGGGAACACTAACGATCTCATGGACGTTGCTCGATACCGTTCGCCACCTCTTCAACAAATCTTTCGTCCTGTCGCGTGTGCGATCGCAAGCTTGCCGCCAGTTCGCGATAAATTTCCGCGGTACTTTCAACGCGTTGTTCTCTTCGAGGCCAAGCTCCTGATTACTACCCGCCGAACTTCTACTCCTTTCGATCGTCTCCGTTTCTTCTGCGTTCACCTCTTGCATCGATGGATAATAAATCGGATCTTTTATGCTATCCGAACGACTCTCCATCGCGGACTACGTCGTCGTCCCCTTACCTACCACTTATTCAGGCTACCTCTCCTGAAATAATCAATTCCTCGACGAGAGGTCACCGGGTCGCTCGATAACAGAAACACGCTCGTTGTTTCTGCGGCTGACTAACATTTTCACCATCGACTTTTCATTTTTTCGACTTCCGTCATATGTGTCACCTACGCGCGCGCGCGTTTCCTACGAAATTTCTCTTCTTTCGATTTATTCACCGATCTGAATCGTTATAATCTTTATAACCAGCTAATTTGGACGCAATTGTTAGCGAAAGAAATGATAGAAAGATGTCAGGTTGAAAATATCATTCGTGTTATCTGATTCGTATGTTCGCCGCTACTCCTGTTTACATTATATGTACAAAATTTCTATCATCAGCACACGTATGTATTTGCACGTGCAAATTCACTCATTAGAATCACCTTAAGCTTTGAACGTTCGAGTCTTCTTCAATTCGAACGTTTCAAATCGATTGATCCGTCGATTGTGAAATTAACACGCGTATACAATACGATCGAATAACAAGTCGTATTCAATTTTCTTTCCATTTTCCTACTTTACCGACACGCATCAAATTTCTACAGAAATTTCACGTAGCTTGCTTTCCCATAGATGTCCTCTCGTTATATCGTACACGTTCGTAGCATCGAGTACGCTATCTCGACTATTAGCGACGCAATGGCTTGATGTGTCGACGCTATTCAGGCAGGGCCCTTCTTTCTGTTGCAATTGCCGAGGGTGAGTGAGACGTGTTAGAAATCGTTTTGTATTTCAACAATCCAAACGTTTTTCCGGACCGCGTGCGGCAGAAATTTATTACCAAGCGAACTCGTACAAAATGTTCATATAATTTTTAACACTATTTTAACGGGAACGTTGTATTTATCGTTTTAAAAAGATTAACCTCGTTGATATCTCGCATTTTCTTCTCTTGCCTGTTTCCTCCATTATTATTCTCAATTAATTTCACATATTGCTACCAAAACCTTTCTTCGCTTATTTTTTCTAATTCCTTCTTCTTTATCCCTCTTCGCAATATTGAAATTCGATTTTCAACTTTTCCGCGTGTTTAATATTAATCCCTGTAAACGTCGGTCTTTTCCAAGGTTTCATCATGGGCGCGTATAAATACATGCAAGAACTGTATCGCAAAAAGCAGAGCGATGTACTACGCTTCTTGCTTCGTGTCAGATGTTGGCAGTATCGTCAGTTGACCAAAATGCATCGTGCCCCCAGACCGTCGAGACCCGATAAAGCACGCCGTTTGGGTTACAAAGCTAAACAAGGTACGTATAATTATATTTTCTTAAAGGATGTCTCAATTTACACAGCCTTTATACTTATTCACTCTCTCGATTTTCTTAGATCGAAGTAAACCCTAACTGCTAACTTTCAATCGTTTTACTCTCTTATCATTCTTACCATCACTTCTATGCACAAAACTGGCATAGAGGTTTAGAAAATATACATGATGATATTACCATGCACCACTCTTACATTTATATGGTGATACATGTGTAAACACTGATACAGCTTCTTTGTTCATTTAAACAATATCAAATTTATATATTTAATACAGAACAGATGAGAAATTTTATTCTCAATACGCAGGTTTTGTCATATTTAGAATTCGTGTGAGGAGGGGAGGTCGTAAACGTCCCGTTCCGAAAGGTGCAACTTATGGAAAACCAAAAAGTCATGGTGTTAATCAGTTGAAACCTACTAGAAAGTTGCAGTCTGTTGCAGAAGTAAGTGCGTAATCGTACAAATTCAACCATATAGAAAGAGCAATTCTATCTTGCAATTTAATCGGTTTTAGGAACGCGTTGGCCGCCGTTGCGGAGGTCTGCGAGTTTTGAACAGCTACTGGGTAGCTCAAGACTCTTCGTACAAATATTACGAAGTTATTTTGATTGACCCTGCGCATAAGGTAACTTTTTTCTTTTAATTGCATTTCAATTCTTTCTACTATTATTCTCTATGCATTATATATTCAAAATGATGACATTACTATTTGTTATTGAAAAGTTGTGATTTATTTTCCTTGGATGTCTGAACCAATAAAAATGGCAAGAGTGTAATAAGATTAACAATAAGCAGAGTGTGTAACTAACGTTTGTAATTACACTTGTTTTAGGCAATTCGCAATGATCCGAAAGTCAACTGGGTATGTAACGCAGTACATAAACATCGTGAGCTTCGTGGAAAGACATCAGCCGGCAGAAGTTCGCGAGGCTTAGGCAAGGGACATCGTTATTCTCAAACTATCGGTGGTTCGCGTCGTGCGGCATGGTTGAGAAGAAACTCACTGTCGCTTCGCAGGAAACGATAAACTGTATAAACGTTTGTAATACTGATTTTCGCGTGTACATGATATGTCATTTTATTGATGTATTTATACATATATGTATCAATATTATGGCATATCCTGTGGAAAATAAACGTTTCTTTCTTAATCAATCTCTTTATATATTCCTACAATTATATTCCTACAAATGTCAGTTATATGTATAACTTCAATAAATCATGCGCATAACTTAATCACTTAAAAAAACATTTATATAACCATAATTTTTATCGATTTTTTTTACGATAGGATAATTTCTATATTTTTTTTTCATCATACACATTTTAAAAATGACATTAAAAAATATGCCTTATTGTCCAGGACCGGATAACGATTTATCCATAAATTTCTTCTTTGCAAAACAGAGCCACCATTTGCTTGGCTTACCATCCTCACCATATACCTTCTCTACTAGTCTAACCCCTGTCTCCTGTCGTATTTGTTGCAAATATTGCCTCATGGTATCTGTGATAATAATGATAATGACGACGATGATGATGATAGTAATAAGAAGAAATATGGAATAATAATCCGTTTCCTACATGAAATAATGTAAAATTTACCTGCTTCCATTGGATTACTTGGCTTTGCATATACAGAGTTTAAAGGAAAACCAGGATCGCCAGGAATGTCAAATTTTGAAATAGCAAGAGAATACATTTCATTTGCTGCTTGAGTTTGAGTTGCACACTTTTGTAATCTTTTCAAGCATTCCGTAATGTATAACGTGATATAAATTAAAACTCTATCAGCCTCACTCTGAAATAATGAAAAAACTTGATGTTTGTTTTAAAAGTAAAATGAGTTGCAAGCACAGATGCACACGTGAGTGATACCTTAATTTCGTACGTTCTAAAAAACACATTCGCTTTGAAGAAATACAACGCCTCGTCAATTATATCCTGATCTTTACTGTTAAAAGGAGGTGCAGGGCCTCTGAAATGCGTCATAATTGGCAAAAGTGCCATATTACCAATGTTTCCATTATTTTCTACGAAACTCGAATGATATGCCTGAAATAAATAAATGAAAACACCGTTACGGTGTTACAATAATATATATGTGTAATAAATGATATGTTTCATTTTGTATATTACTAAGTTTCCATAATGATAAGAATAAAGTTGAAACGAATTTTCATAGTTTCAGTTTTAATCAGGTTAGGGGAGACGCCCCAACAACCTATGCACGAACTCGTAGAATCACGATTTAGTACACATAGTATTACATCAAAAACTGTTACTTACAGGCATATTGGCAAATTAATCGAATGGAAATGCTGTTTATGTTTATAAATATGTGCACGAATCACGTAAAACGAGCGTATTCACCTTTAGATATATTGTATATTAGATTTTACGACATGTACAAGTTGATACGTCACATTCTCATTTCTCGTTAAATGATAACAAAACTGACTACATATGGCTTGCTTATGAAGCATAAAAAATCGTAAAACACTTTAGAGCTTTAAAGGTGCAAAATGATTAAATCTTAATATAATTTTATTCCATTCGCTTTGTAAATTTAAATGCTGACCACGTGTAATTCCATTCAATTGGTTACGATGCTTTTTATTTGCAAAATTGTAACTAGCAGAAAGTAGATTCTTCTATTGGAACTTGAATTGCCGTTCTCCTCTCATTGTTTATTCGCTTCAACATTTCGTGCCGTATGTAAATTTGAAAAATGTACTTTCATATTTTACTTTTTCAACATTTTCGATTTCGCGCACCTTCTCGTTTGAAAATTAAAAGATCTAGAAGAAGAAAAGATGTCCTAGTAATATTCCGATGGAACGTATTCTTAATTTTTCAGATTGGCTATTCTATCCACTTCATGTGAGAATTACTTCCGGTCATTTCCGTTAAATGGCGACGACGATGGATAGTTCGTCTCAAAGTGTGTTGTCGTAACTTTGCATTTGTGATTTTTGAAAAATCCTTTAACTGTTCTCTTTGTACACGTAATTCCGTTATACAGCACCGTGTATATGTATGAGAATTCGTTCGTAACCTTCTGTATCCGAGAGCGATAGATTTTCAAGTATAAGCGTACCTAGTGTCGGACATTTCTATATGAGAATAATGGCCGATGTCGAAGGAAAAAAGCTCACCGAGCTGCGAGTTATAGATTTGAAGACAGAACTCGAGCGGCGTGGACTAGACAAATCTGGCAATAAAGCGGCACTTCTTGAGCGTCTCTCCAAAGTAAATTTTCTTATCTCTTTAAATTGTTATCTTTAAGCATTCCCTAACAATACTGCTCGTTGTTTTATCGCCATTTTAACCCCTTTCATCCCGTTGATAGTTTCCGTTTCAACTATACTGTAGTATACGACGATGAAAAGTCTATGTTTCAAGCAATCATTATCATACTGCTTTTGTAGCAGAGCTCCTGTTATTTAATTACATTTAAATAGTTAATAAAGCATTGTTTGTAATTCAGTAATATTACCGTTTTACCATGTTTAGTTATCGTTAATTATTGCAAGCATGGTAATTTCGTTTTTATTTTCATATGTAAGTCTATAACCGACGAAGGGCAAGATCCTGATGAATATTTGATCGTGCCATGTGGTGGAGTTTGCAAAGTTAGCCCAAGAAAAAACAGCGGTAGGTTATTTTAACGTTAGATATGGGTGAAAGAAAATAAGTAATAATGTTTTCTTCTTATTTTTAGTGACTGGTACACTGAATCCAGATGAATCTGTCGATGCACCAGAGAATCAAAAAGAAGAAACTACAGAGGTAGTGGATAATAACGAAGGAAAAGTTAAGACAGAAACGAAACCGATCATGGAAGAAGATGTAACAGTATCCAAGACTGAGGTAAACACAATAAGAAGAAAGCACAATTATAATGTACATTTGTAGAGGGTAAGAAGTGAAAAAGAAAGGTTTATTTTAGGAGCCTCAAGTTGACATTCAAAGCAATGCTAACAAGGAAACAGAGCACAAGCAACAGGAGCTTAAGAATCATTCGAATAAGATATCATCCGAAAATACCCAGGTTGTTGAAAAGAAAGTAGAATCAGATGCAGCTACCATGGTAAATCAAGCCTCAACTAATTCAGCATCGACCGTCGAGGCTAACGGTATCGACAACGAAGATTCCATCAATCTAACTATTGGAGAAGATGAAGAAAATCTCCTCGCCGAGGAGGTAATGGATTTAATTAAGTTATGATTAGGTCATGTTCGCAAAACGAAAGTTACATTAATAGCGTGTACTCTACTTTTTCTGTTACAGACAGAGTCTCACGACAGGCATAAGGGTAAGTTTAGCAGTATATTGAATTGCATAACACACACACACACACACACACACACACACACACGCACACGCGCGCGCGCGCGCGCGCGCGCGTAAGATCTCAAGGAATAGATATAGCACTACTTTTGTTTATGGTCACGAGTAAGTTACTTAAGTGTGTGGCATCAAGACTAAGGGAGTTGTTTATCTACGTGTAAAATACCTCATCTATCCAGAATCATGAGCGTGCTGGATTCGTCTACAAAGTTGCACTTCATGCTTCATCTTACGCCCGCTCTTGGAGCTCTATATTTGCGAATAAGCACACGTACAGGATACGATGCAACCGCTTGTGTCACGTGGACATGGCACGCAACAATGTAACTGCAAATTATTACGGCACGACGATCGACAAGGTTTCAGCCAGAATGAAACGTACATCCGTCGACGTTCTTGCGCGCAGTCTATATCAACTATGTACTATAAAAAGTTTATCCCATAAGTGCTAGTCTATAAGTATTAGTTAACGCTAGAGTTTGATATAAAGTTACATTTCATTCTACCTAACCGCATAGAGCATCGTTGGATCGTTCAGCCTCCAAATTATGTGGACACACGAAGACTCAAGCGTACGTCAAGCCGAGAGTAAATGATTATATCTACCCCGGATACGAATGCCGGCGATATCGATACCTTCGAACTACGGACGTACAATAGCCGCATCATGTCCTTTGACAAATTTTTCACCCGCGAACCATTTGGCTGTCGCAGAAATTGCAGAATAATCAGCATAACATCGTATATGCATCTTCTTCCTTCTTGATCTTCCATACCTTATGTCTGCCCTCATGTCCTCCCTCTGTCTACTTCCCTTTAACGTTCACTTTCGATTTAGGCTTCGGTTCATAGTCTTACACATAAAGGTACAAAGGTAACTTTAATGTTGTTAGAAAGTTGAAAAAGAAAGTAAAAAAAAAAGTAAAAATTTAGGGTCACTATGGATTATGCCATTGAAGAGCGAATTTGTGATGTTGCGATCATGCGATCTTCATCATAATTTACTCCGCAATCTGTTAGTGGTTCGGAAAAGTTCCATGCAGGAAATAGAGGCCACTAAGCAGCAGGAGTGTTAGGGAGGGAGAAGAAATCTGGCTTCGCAGAAAGTGACTATGCTACCTTGATTGTCTCTGCAGATGGAGGAGAGAAGAAGAAAGTGGAAGAGAACAACAAGAAGGGAGACTCTAAAGGGAGCGGCAGAGCAGAAGCCGGCGCCAACAACAAGGAAGGGACGACATCAGGTGGAAACGTCGGGACGAAGAGCAAGCAGGACGGTGGTGGAGACGGAAGCAAGAGGTTGGTCTCTCATTGCTAAAAACGGTTCACAGTGGTACGACAACGAAATGTCACACAACTCTATGCTAGCGATGCTCTTCCGCCGCATACAATACCATCAGGATAAAATACTCTCGAACCGATGGATTTCGAAGCTGAATTATTCGTCAAACTCGCACGCAAGATTACTTTATTCCCTTTTTTTCAATCGCATACGAAGTTCCTTTCCGCTGTCGTATGTTTAGGCTGTAATTCTTAACTCTGGAAAGTATGTTAAGAAATCGAGAAATTGGCTAGCAAACTTTGAACCAAGCGTTCGTAAATTTCGTAAACGAATATTTTTCGATGGTATGTTACAACAATACGTTCCAGGATTACCGATGAAAGCGATTTCGATCTGTCCGACCAAGATATTCGTTTCTATAAAACAGACAGCAGTTTCGTCCAAATCATGGTAACACACATGATCATTAGTATCTATCGAAGTAAATTGTGCACTCGATAGAACCGTAACGCGACATCAAGCAATCGATAATATTATTCATCGAAGATATATCGCGGTATGTGTCGATGCAATAATTACAACTTGACAAGAAGTGTGCCCTCCCGGAAGAACCATCAAGGAGATACTCTCTTTTTGGACAGCTCGTGTAACAGGGATTCGTTACGTTGTGCAAACGTATTTTCCCACATGGACATACTTTTATTATACACGAACGATCAGAACTGGATTCAGCCACAGTGAAAACATAGTAATTCGAGTAAAATGTTAACAAATTAACATACACGACGATGCACAAGTGATTACTAAAGCGAATTTCTAATTATTGTTGCCGTTACTATTATCGTCGGTGTTGTTGTTGTTGTTGCTGCTGTTGCTGCTGTTGTTGTTGTTGTTGTTGCCGCTGCTGTTGTTCTTTTTATTATTTTTAATAACGATGGTAGTGGCGAAGATGTTGACGACGACGACGACGACGACGACGATGATGATGATGATGATGATGATGATGATGATGATGATGATGATGATGATGATGATGATGATGATGATGATGATGATGATGATGATGATGATGATGATGATGATGATGATGATGATGATGATGATGATGATGATGATGATGATGATGATGATGATGATGATGATGATGACGACGATGATGATGATGATGATGATGATGATGATGATAAAGTCGTTAACGATGATGATGTATGACGATGCCGATGATGACGACTACGATGACGACGGCGACGATGACGACGACGACGACGACGACGACGTCGACGATAATGATGATGATGATGATTATGATAGCGATATCATTATAAAGACAAAAGTTGCTAGCCAAATTTATACGCTTAACATAGTTACAGAGGTACCTAATTAAGCCTCGAAAGAAAAGTCATAGTATCTAAAATATTTACCTTTCATACGTAATAAGAAAAGTTCAAACGTTGTAGTCAGAGTGTATTCATAAAAATATTAATTATTTTCAGTGTGGAGTCTAGCAACAAGAGTCAGAAACGGGACGACAAAGGTAAATTTTCCTCGCGCTGTATTGCAATTCGATTTTATAATGTTTGACGATACTCTGCGACATTATCGGATAAGCGTTTGTCTCTTTTTGTATTTGATTTTTGTACGATTTGATTGATTACGTAGACAAGAAGACTTCGCAAGTCAGCCCCGTGAACGCAAGTAGTAGAAACTTATGGGTTTCCGGATTATCATCGAGCACTCGGGCAACAGATTTGAAGCAAATATTTTCGAAATACGGAAAAGTGATAGGTGCGAAAGTGGTTACGAACGCGAGAACTCCAGGTGCAAGATGCTACGGATACGTGACCATGTCGACTAGCGAGGATGCCGCAAAGTGTATACAACATTTGCACAGGACTGAACTTCACGGGCGTGTGATATCCGTCGAAAAGGTAGTTGCGACAAGAAAAAGAAAATGTTCCCGTTTCCCCGGGGGGCCCTTAACATGCGTGCTTTCTCTCACTCTGTGCCCATTTGTATTTAAAGGCGAAAGGCGACACTCAACAGAGTCATATGCGTAAACGAGATACTACGAATGGAAAATCGGAAAAAAAGGAAGAGAAGGAAAAGGCAGCGAAGGATAATCACGATGTTAACGATCGGAAGGAGAAGGAAACGAAAAAGGAAACGGAGGATAAAGGTTCGGAAGCAAGTGAGTGACCACCTACGTGATAGATAAATTATATGTACAGCGAGTGACGATTACGTTTGTATAAAAAAGAAAAGAAAAAAAAAAACGTTTAAATATATCGTAACAGCGAAAAAATCGGACGAAAAGAACAGCGAGAACGTCGAGAACAAAAAAGCAGCGGCAGAGGTGCAAGAGAAGAAAGACGAAGCCTCGAAGGACAACGATTCCCGTTCGACTAAATCAACGAGCAAAAAGCCGGAGAGTGATAGAGGGAGGCGCGATGAGAAGAGAATTCGTTCCTGGGACCATCATCGGTCTCACACTCGATCCCGTAGCCGCGAACGACGTAGACGCGACGACGTATTGACGTTCGCCAAGATTAGGGTAAATGCGCCTGTGAGTGAGTGTGAGAGAGAGCGAGTGAGAGGTGGGGGGTACGATTTAGCGATATCGAGAGGCTGAACGAACGATTACAAGAGGTGGGGGGTGTGTTGTAATTTGTCACGCGTATTTTCAGGAAGAACGGGAGAGGCAAAGGTTACGCGAAAGAGAAAGAATGCTTCGCGAAGAGGAACGGCGAAGAAGAGAAGATATGGAGCGACAACGAGAAGTGGAACGTAGGCAACGAGAAGAGGCTGCACGGCTGGAACGAGAACGAGAGAAATTACGAAGGGAGAGAGAGAGAATCGAACAGGAAAAGGCCGAATTGCTTCGATTGGAACGGGAACGTCAGAAACTGGAACGAGAGAAGCTGGAGCGGGAAAGATTGGAACTGAAGAGGCAACAATTGCGATTAGAGGAGAGTAGACGCGCCCCACCGCCACCGTCCATTAAGCGATCTTCCAGCGACAGAAGGGATCCGAGAGACATGTACGTGGAGCCTGATAGGAAGCGTATGGCCACCGAGCACAGTCGAAGACATACTCCCGAACGAGTGAGCGATCGCCGCGGTGAAATTTTGGACCGCGTTTCGGACAGACGATTGGACGCGTCGCCACCTACTCGTTACGAGTCTAGCAGGTAAGAAGACGCGTTTTATTCAGCTAGCTTCCCCCTTCTGTTCTTGTCGAAAAACGGACGAAATGCAACATCCTAACAAATTGCAGATCCGCTCAAGATTTAGGGTTGAAGAAAGAATTTAAACGCAGTAGCGAGTTCACTTCGCGTAGTACTCGTCCGGAAAGCTTTTCGGAGGTATCCCGTGGTAGAGAAGTGATCGTCCGCCGGGAAGCTCTTAGCACGACAGCAACGTCTATCGACCCTCGGCAAGTTAAGGAAAGGTAAATTAAAGAACGAACCGATCGACGCAGCGCGTATTTTCACTTTCCAACGAAAAAGAAATTGAGCGATCTTCGTCGATATATACATACATACATGGTTTTGTACAGGTATGAACGTGCAAGTACAACCACTTATACTCGCGACCGCGATGTTCGACGTTCCGATACGGATACGCATAGAAGCTCCAGGGACAGTCACACGCGGTACAGTGAAAGCTTCAAACCCACGAGTTCTAGTACTCCACGTTAGTAGAAAATATTTTTGAAAGATATCGAGAAACAAAAGCAAGAAAATGATTTTTTTCGATGAGGTCCGATGATTAACGTCTCGATACGTATTGTACGCGTACACACAGGTGACAGTCGTTACGTCGAGAGCAATCGAACAACCAGTAGCTGGCACTCCGGACCTCCATCTACGAAATCGTTTAATTCCGTGCCGAGTAGCGGAACTCGAGATCCACGAAACGAGCCATCTAGCTGGAGTTCTAGATCGTCCGAGAACGTAAACAGGTAGGCGAGCAATCAGTTTCTCGTCCATTTTTCTTACCGATCAGTTTCACCAGAAGAAAAATCAAACCACCGAGAAAATCAATGAATTTCAGATGGAGCAATTCAAGCAGCATGGGAAACACGTTGCGGCATCCAGTACCACCGACATATCAAAGTGGTCCTATTCAATCCATGGGACTCACGGCACCTGGGACAGCACCGTCATACGATCGTTTCGATCCGTACAAATCGTCTATGCCGAGCATGAGAAAATATTGATCTTGTCCCTCTGACAATTCGTACCATTATAACGAATAGCCACGATCACGATCTTTGCATCGACGCGTTTTCACAACAAGAGGCACATACGCGCGCGCGCGCCCACACTCATTCACTCACACGTATACACACGCACACCGAATAATTATTATTATCATTATTACTATTATTATTACGATTGTTTACATCGTCGACAAATCAACACTTTATCATACTCGAGAAATTTCTTGTACGTATAGTTTGAATAGAAACGCGATTATATCGAGAAACCACGATTCACGGGAAGCACGAATGATATTCCTTGTTGACGTGTACGTCTTCGAAATCTCTTTCCACGCATCTCTCATACTCGCGTTGCTATTTTTCAATTGATTTTCGAACAAATTTAACCAAACGAAAGGAAAACCTTTCGGAAGGACCGTCGAATCTACGAGTTCGCGTTGTCTCCTCGAATCGTTTCACCTCGACGATTCGCCGCAAAAGGGAATAAACAAGTGGTACTATCACTACTATATTACTACTACTACTACTACTACTACTACTACTACTACTACTACTACTACTACTACTACTACTACTACTACTACTACTACTACTACTACTACTACTACTACTACTACTACTACTACTACTACTACTACTACTACTACTACTACTACTACTACTACTACTACTACTACTACTACTACTACTACTACTACTACTACTACTACTACTACTACTACTACTACTACTACTACTACTACTACTACTACTACTACTACTACTACTACTACTACTACTACTACTACTACTACTACTACTACTACTACTACTACTACTACTACTACTACTACTACTACTACTACTACTACTACTACTACTACTACTACTACTACTACTACTACTACTACTACTACTACTACTACTACTACTACTACTACTACTACTACTACTACTACTACTACTACTACTACTACTACTACTACTACTACTACTACTACTACTACTACTACTGCTACTACTACTGCTACTGCTACTACTACTATACCACTGCAATTTTACTAACAAATGCTTGAACGACGAATTCATCGCGACAAACATATTGATTTCTCAGCTGCATTCATTGTGCGAAACACACGAAACGTACACACAATGTACGGTGTACTTGTAATATTGAAATGTAATGGACTTTTGTACATTTGTTAATAGATACGATTGTGATGATCTTAGGGATCTAGAGAGGGGGGACGCTCGAAGGGGAACGCACTCTCTCTTGTTCGTTCGTCCCTGGCGCAATTACAATTTATACGATGCGTTCTATCTATTGTTATTTGCAACTTATTTCAAACGACAATGATGCGTACTCGTTTACATCGTTGGATATATTCTTGTAGAACGATAAGATTAAGATACACCGTAGAAATAGAAACAGTTACATCGTGTATCTTGGACCGATTCTTCGTAGAAATACGTACATATTCTCGGTAAGGATATGACTGAACACTTTGTACATTGAATTCCACAAGAAAGAACTGTGTATCTAAACAACATTGGAATCTAGGCTGGTACGTGAAGCAACACGTACCATGTTTCAGTGTAGCGACGACACTATTACGATATAAATAAATCTATGGCATATTAGAGTTGTTGGTTTTGAAATGGACGAAAGATGAATTCCGCGTATCGAGACTTGTCCGTTGGACGAAACGAAGAAGAACGATCGAACTGCGTTCCGTAATATTCGCGGAACGAAACTTTCGAAGCATCGACCACCAAATCAAAAGCAATTGCAAAGTTCGGGGTGGGGGGCGGCGAATAGAAATGCGCACAGTAGAGAGAGAACACTTTCCCTGGAGTGAGTGGAGTGAGCGAGGGATGGCGGTCGCTATCGAAGAAGAAAGGAGAAAAGACGGAGGGAATGTGAGAGTGTGAGGGAACGATTCTCCGTCGAGGACAAAGTGTGTCGAGGTCTTTTCACGGACAATCGTCGTGATCGAGGTTCGTCCCGTGCAATCACGATTGCACGATTCGACAGTTTCCTTCCTCTACTTGAATTTTTTCGTTTACTCCCCCGTTTCTTTCCGTGTTTCACCTCCTCCTCCTTATCCATTCCCTCCTTCACTTCTCTCTATCCATTATCCCTTTCTCCAAGCACGCACTCTCTTTCTCTCTGTGTTTGTGTACGCGTGCGTGGTTCTCCGTTTCTCTCTCTCTTTCCTTCTCCCGCCGCCGTCGTCGAATTTCCATAGACGACGAACAATTCGCCGGTAGTCTCGCGGTTGTGACAACTTACCGTTGAAGTAGTTGGATGTGGTGTGTCTGATCGCTGGTGTCAGGTGTGTGGTGAGGATAGAGAGAACGCCTGGAATGTCTGTGTATAGCATCGGTTGACTTTTTCCTCTGGATCAGGATGTCGTCGTCTATCGTGTTGAGTAAGTGGGATCTTGTTTCGACTATCGTTGGACGCGTCGATCAAAGAGAGACGATTAGCATTTAAATTTCTTTCCAATTACCCTGCTCCTGTACCACGAGACATCAGCGGACGTTAGATTTGCGCGCGAAAACTTCAAAGTGATTTCTTTCATTGCAATCGAGTAGGTGCTGTGAAATGCGTTGTACGAGGAAGGATCGCAATTGAAGGTTGATGGGTGATTAAACTTGAGCTGTAGAGAGATGGTGGAGCTGCCCGCAGGATGTGGGCTAAATTGCGTAAAGGCTATTGCACGGGAAAATCCTCGAACGATAACAAGGAGGAGAAGAGACTGAAAGAGAGTGTGAAAGTAAAGATAGAGCATGCAACAGGCACCGCATCGTTAATAAACACGTCGTTAATAAAGCCCAGTTTTTCGCCGGGCGAAAATAGTAACGCGACGACGCGTGAGCTTCAATACGGAGAAATTTCTCGCTTCATCCGTAGGATGAAATTCAAACGCAATTCCTCTCTGCTCGGTCGGTGTGAGCTCGTGCGTATATCGGCGATGAATCAGTGAACGGAAGAAAGGCAAGGCGCGCGCTTTCTCGTCGAGCAACTTTCACCATCGATGAAGTCCGTGTGCGTCGGCCGATTCCGAAAATGTTTTCGCTCGCTCTATCCTCCGCGCTCTTGTTGCGGCGGCGGTGGTGGTAATGAACCACGCGCGAAAGTTAGGGGAATCCCACGGTTTGCAACCTTTGTTTCAGCGGTGACAGATAGATTTGTCTCCGAGGTTGACAGATAGGAACTGTGTTCGAAAGAAATTTCACCGACGGCTCCGTGTTACACTTCCAATTCGATTTCACGAAGAATCGAGTTACCTTCTCGCGCGTTACCAACACAGTTTTCCTATCGATTTTACTTAGGTTAGACTCGCGATCGAAACTGGGGAAATTGTGTTAATAGGTCGATATAGGAGGAGCAGTCCGTTTACCGAGCGTAACGCATCGCGATCGCTGCGCTTTAACATACGCGGTTTCAGCGTGTGCACTATTGTTTCAGAATTATGCGTAACATGGAGTTTACTAACGAGTTGCTGCTCTTACACCGAAGATATTGCGCGGTATCGTTATCACGTCGGTAAGTCGCTTTTCAAACGGATAAATTATACATATATGTGAAACTTATACATATATGTAACGAGATGCACGCGATACACAGGAGGAAAGAGATACGGAAGTGGTGAGATGTACGCGATGCCTGCGATACGAAGATGGAGAGAAGAAGCGGAACCGAGCGGCGGACCTTTTCCCTCAAGGAGGGACACGCAGCTCCAGCCTTACGTAAGATTAACGAAAGTGGAGCAGCAAGGGGAACAACCGGATCCGTTGATCGCCATCTCCGAGACGTTGGGCGCGCTCAACACCGTCGGCAGTTACATCGTCAATATGACCAGAGGCATGGAAAACTCGAGTTACCCGCCCAAGGAATTACCTTCCGCTATATATACCATCTCCAAGAATATTCTAGGTATTCTCTCTCTCCGGGTTGTTTAGATGGTTGGTTGGTTGGTTGGTACATATTGCGTTTTCAGGACGCAACGTAACGGAGAGCATCGCACCGTTGGTCCGAGGAGTGGGTTTGCCCCTGAGAGCCTCGCCGATCGGGGACTCCTCCTCGTTGGAGATCGAAAAGGAATCGGCGAGTGGCGCGGCTGGATGCACCACGGCCGATGGTAATCCCGGAAAGTGTCAGGATCTGAGCAATTGCCCTCAACTGTTGCTCGACTTGACCAAACTCAGACAATCGTTGTGCTTCAAAAGTCTGTTCGTGCCGGGTGTTTGTTGTCCGTCGACGGACAAAACGGATGCCGGCGGAACGGTAAACAGGTAAACAGGCAACCACACACAGATCATCCTTATTACGTCGCACGCTCCTCTACGAAAATCGAAATTTTCGTTACGTCCTCGACCAGTTCGGCTCCGAGTCTGCCGCCGCCAACCACCACACCCTCCAATTCTGCCGGCCTGTTGTTAACTACTTCCGTTCGTCCGTCTTCGTCCTCGAGCAACCAATCCAACAGCCCCCTCGATAATATAATACACGACGACGAAGGTAAGAATCCCTTTTTTTCCTCTTTCACTTCTTTCACTTCTTTCACTTCTTCTCTTATTTATTTACAATAGAATGCGGAGTGAGAAACTCGGGCAAGTATCGAGTTGTCGGCGGAGAAGAAGCTCTACCAGGACGTTGGCCCTGGATGGCGGCGATATTCCTACACGGCTCGAAACGCACCGAATTCTGGTGCGGCGGATCTTTGATCGGATCGCGACACATTCTCACCGCGGCTCATTGCACCCGCGATCACCGTCAACGGCCGTAAGTTCCGTCGTTCGTAAGTAAACTTCCTAAGTTAGAATCAGCCGGCCTAAAGCGGATAAAGCGGTTTGTCGAACGTTCCTCGCGCAGATTCGCCGCGAGACAGTTCACCGTACGACTCGGAGACATAGATCTCGAGAGGGACGACGAACCGTCTGCCCCGGAAACCTACACGGTCAACCAGATTCACGCGCATCCAAAATTCTCCCGTGTTGGATTTTACAACGACATCGCGGTACTCGAGCTGACCAGGCCTGTTAGAAAATCTCCTTACGTCATTCCGATCTGTCTACCGCAGATGCGCTACAGAAACGAGCGATTCGCCGGCGCTAGACCCACCGTTGTCGGTTGGGGTACCACTTACTACGGTACGTATTCCTTTATTATTATTTAATAATAATAATGATAATGATAATGATAGTTCATCATCATCGTGACACGTTTCCTCCGCGACAGGTGGTAAAGAGAGCACGGTTCAACGGCAAGCGGTGCTTCCGGTATGGAGGAACGAAGACTGCAACGCGGCTTACTTTCAACCGATCACCAGCAATTTCCTATGCGCCGGTTATAGTCAAGGTGGGAAAGATGCCTGCCAGGGTGATTCGGGTGGGCCGCTTATGCTCAGGGCCGACAGCCGATGGATTCAAATTGGTATCGTTTCGTTCGGTAACAAGTGTGGAGAACCTGGATATCCGGGAGTTTACACGCGTGTCACCGAATACACAGACTGGATAAAGAATAATGTCAATTGAACGAAAGAAATTCGAACATTTCGTTTGCTTTATTTTTGTACATAACACGTCCGTACGTACGCCTGGGTGCCAAGTATTTTTATTATATCCATTACTGTGATCTCAAGATAATAAGTTATAATTCATCGCGAGATACACAAGTATGTGGCATACTCGTTGTAAAGGAAAAAACATTTATTTATTTATTTATTTATTTAAACGACCATAATGCGAACGCGGCTGCGATCGCTTCGATTGTTTCAACCTCGTCGAGAATCCGTTCGTCCATTTTCGATCATTTTTACTTACAACGCATCCTTTTTTTTTGCCAACTTACATAATTTCACATCTATACGTCCCCTTGTCGCAGTTTATTTATTCTCATCGTTCGTATCTCTTGCGCGTGTTTCGAGATGAAACCTAAAAGCGTATCTGTTGAAAATTTGGGAAATCTGCTCGAGCAAATAATCGATAGAGCCCTCCTACGAGACAATGGTTAGTCTGCTGCGGTTCCTTCTTTATTTTCCCCCATAAAAATACCCATTCTTTCCGTATCAACTACCCTGATAGAACAAACAATACGATTTCATCCAACAACCGTTCACAAGCGGTACCACCCCAAGATGAAGGTGCTCGAACAACCGAAGAGTACAGAATGCAAACGAAAAGACGATGTGCAACCATTCGAATCGTACAACAAACAGGTAGTAATTAATTACCATTTTATAGAAATATTGCAACGTATAGAGAAATATCTTTCAGACGAACATATCCGCAACTGTCGCGCATCGTAGATTCCGTCGACGTAAATATAAACGATCCTTTGTAAAAGTTCCCTCCAACGAAAACCAACAATCTCCTCCTTCTGTTAAGGTGTGCACTCTTCTTAAACTTTCAGTCCGAAACATCTTCCTCTTCGGTATTTACCTATTATTTTCGTAGCAACTCCAAATTTCGTACAATTTGGCAAAACAATCGAACCTACCACCTTCAATACCAAATATGGAAAACTTTTCCGAACAAGCCCATACACGTGATCATCCTATCCACCGGTTGTATATTATTTTATTTCATAACAAATTCGTCAGGTACGTTTACGCGACGGAAGATAAAAATGTGAAATCTTAGATTGCAGAACAGCCAACGACAAAGTCGAGAAAAGTTGTCGTTCGAAGTTTGGAAAAAGAAGAAAAGCAATATGTATCGACCGATACTTAAGAAAATGGAAGCTGAACGACGACAAAAGTTACTCGAAAATCTGGCGAACGTGGAATGGAAAAAAATTATCCAGCAGGTGTACAACAACACCTTTATATTATTCTTCATTTCGCTGCAATTTTACTTACTTACTTTCCTTCCTTCCTTCCTCCCGCTAAGACACAAATGCGCAAGAAACGACAAGAAATACGAAATCAACGAAATCACAAGTTGCTTTCTAGAAAACATCTCGACACAATTAAACGAGGAAACGTGCTAACGATGGTCGAATCGAATTGTAACCGAATCAAAGAAAAACCAGTTATTCTTGACGAATGCATCTTGAATAAATTGGGAAAGCAGAGAAAGACGAAACTTGAGGGAAACGAAAAACTATGGAAAAACACGTCGATGATGTGTCGGTAAAATTTTCTTTTCGATTAATCATATGCGCTTGTCGTAACCGACTAAATATGAAGGTAAAGAAGCTTGAGGAAGGGATAAATTGCTTTGTACTTTTCAGAAGATCGAATAACGCCAGTAACGTTCGAAAGAAACAAACCGTTGCATTCTATTTCTGGTTAAATCAATTAAATTTGATTCTCCGTAACAAGTATTTGCGAAAACGCCAACATCTTCTATGATTCTTCTACACTTCTCAATCTTCTTACTATGAAAATGCAACTTTCTCCATGAGATAAGTATAGTTACGCACAAATGCGCCTATCAATTCGTTTCTACGTCATGTGCGTTCGTTCTCTTGGTAAAAAATATCTTATGCAATATCTAATTAAATTATCTTACTTACACCGTTCGCCGACCGCTTTTCGCTGTCCTTCCAATAATCCCACCGATCGAGCCTCCCTCCACTCTCCTCCTATTCGTAGGAATAGATTCACAAACATCAGCACATTTTTTTTTATCTTACAATAGTATCCAACTGTACTGTGCACAACTGGCAACAATTTCATTTTACCCATTTTCGCTTTTATCTTTTATGTTAAATGTCGATACGAGTACATTTTTATCCGATGCCAATTAAGTATCGATACCAAAAGTATTTCCTATCGAAACAAAAGTATCGACAAAAATATCGACTCGCATTTACTTGTATCGATTCATCTCTAATTACGTGAAAAGTTCTACAACATTTTTATATATTTTCAAGCATATCTGTAATATCGAGAAATAAATATAATCGAATAACATACTTCAATCTTATTCGTTGTAACAATTATTATTACACGACACAAATATTTTACACTTACTTACCAAATTTATAGTGCCATTTTCTTTCTATTAGACAAAACATCATTTTTCCACCATTTTCTTTTTCCAATTTTTTACCATTTTTACTTATTTTTACTTACTGTTACCTATAATCTTTGTATTTTCCCTACCGTTATAGTCATTCTTATATCAAACATTTCGAAAAATATTCATTTATCGTACATATTTACGTAAATACATGTATACATAACACATTCTTATATTCAGAAATGTTAACATGTTAACCTAACGGCGCTACCCGATGATATTTCTTAGTTTTATTCAAGTGTACCGTAGCAAGTTTATGATACTCGAGCAATCGTTATGGAGAAGGAAGGTAAATAAGTTGAAATTAATGAATTAACAAAACAATTCAGCCTTTTACGTATTGTTCTTTCAGAAATTTCTCAATACTTTAACAACATTATCAAATTAGACAAAGATGTTTCTGCTGGGATGGCTGCTATTCGTACATTACTAAAAGTTTTGACCAGTTCAAAGTGTAAGTATATGCTGATAGATTTTTAACATCTTTTTTTTTATATACATATATTCCTTTTCTTTTCTCATTACAGCTGAAACAGTTCAAGAGCTTAGGTATTGCTTGCAGAATGCGATAGATGCAATGAAATCCACGGAGAACCCTGTTACTGCTATTGCATCTGGCAGTGAATTATTCCTACGTTTTATAACTCTAGCTACATTAGACACTCCTGTAAGAATGTCCTTGCACATTTTGCGACAATTATTTTCTATTTTTTTTTTCTTTTTTTATTATAAACATTCTTTAGTTTCATTAATACATTGCAACGTTTATTCTGTATTAGTCGTTTGCAGAATGCAAGCGAATTATGCTCTACAGGGGAAGAATGTTTTTTGAAAAATTAGTGGTTGCTAGAGGAAAAGTGGCAAAAGTAGCAGCTCACTTCATTAAGGATGGTTCTGTAATTTTCATTTAGTTTCTAAATATTTTTTCAAGGACTCCTTTTAATCCTTGTTGTAATGTTGTGCTCTCTTCCAGAAAATACTCACTCACTCAAAATCTAGAGTTGTATTACAAGCAATGAAGAGAGCTGCTGCAAGTAGGAAAATATTTCAAGTATATGTAACGTGTTCTGCTCCTGATAATAGTGGGTAGGTATTTCTTCCGTTGCTGTAACATTTATCGTTACAATTACGTATAGTAATTACTTCCCTTATTATTACCTTTCTTTTTGATGGCCAGACTGGAAATGTGTCGAAATCTAACACAATTGGGTGTTTCTTGCACGTTGATATTAGATTCAGCAATGGGATACGTTATGGAACAAGTTGACATGGTCATGGTTGGTGCAGAGGGGGTTGCAGAAAGTGGAGGTGTTATTAACAAAGTATGCATAGTTTTAGAAATTGCCTGCAGCTACTGTAAATCATTATTCCCTTTCGTCTCCTTGTATTTATAGGTTGGGACATATACAATGGCTATATGTGCTAAAGAGGTGAAAAAACCTTTTTATGTACTAACAGAGAGCTTCAAATTTTCAAGAATATATCCCTTAAATCAAGTCGATCTTCCAAATGAATTTAAGGTAAAAAATCACGTCAAGTATTTTATTCTATATTTCCCAACTGTAAAATGGTGGTATATCGAAAAAACAATCTTTTCTTCTTTTGTAGTACACAGCAAGCACGTTAAAGAAAGACTTGCAGAAAGAACATCCATTGGTTGATTATACACCACCACATTATATTAGCCTTCTATTTACCGATTTAGGTATTTTAACACCTTCGGCTGTAAGCGATGAACTTATTAAATTATATTTATAAACACCGTATATGTCTTTTAACATTAAATCGGCGTTTCAAAGTACTGTGCAGCACGTTATGTTTTTATGCATAATTTTAATGATAACAACATGGATAGAAATGGAATTATTTAAGCAATACGAGTAACAAATGTTTAAACACCTCATCGACAAAAAACTCGAATTTTATAAAAAAGGCTTCGATACAAGCTTTATTCGTTAAATGTGAAAATAATATTGAGTATTAAAAAATAACAACACACTCGTTTTTTCTTTTCGAATCGCAGTTCAAAGTAACACGCAATACAGCTAATGCTTTTTTTTTTTTTTTTTTTTTTTTTTTCATTTTACAATAGAATAGTTCAAATGTTTTGAATACCTTTCAATTTTTCCTTAGTTACATGCGATTTACCAGAGGATAATTTACACACAGCGCACGATGTAAATACATGGTATCTTTAAACACAATTATATTAAACATTGAATTATACGCATTTTAATGATTAAGCGTACGTTGTGTATTGCACAGCAATAACTAGTAAATTTTGTAATTTTCTATGAAAATAAAAGAATAAAAATTGTAAAGAACTTTGTATGTGTAATGAAAATCAAAATTCTTAAAAAATTTACAACTTTGCTGCTGAGCGTATAGATAATACTAGAAAACTTTTATTCATATCCAGTTTTCATTTTGATGAAACATGATAAATAATGGCGAGAATTCACCAATACAGGTATATCTAATTTAAAAATCATTGATAATTTTCTTTCTTTATGTTACATGTTTTCCGTGAAATGTTGTTCCGAACAAATAATGCATATCTTAACGTTCTTAATTTTATCAATGAATACTGTGGTTGAAATTCAATTACCATTTGGACGGACAAATAATATAGACCTTTTAAGACAGAACTATTAGTATACAAATGAAAGAGAGAACACGAACAATAAGAAATGTGTTGATATTTGGTCATCCTAAAAAGTTCCTACAGTTTTGAGAACCGTTGATCACTTTAATGAATCATGAGTTAATTTGCTTTTGAATCTGAATGGTTCAAAAACCGCAAAATATTTCGGGATAACTTAATATACGATTCATATACGATTATATCATAATATGATAACATATTCACACTTTTTATGCACAGTAATGTATACATACAACGAAAACATAAAAATGCCAATGGTCCTCACTATGAAAATCTCATACCTCTGGCTCTTATCATATTTGATTTGATTTCGGCTAAGTTTGAAAAATTTAAACATAATTAGTTTATCCTGGAATGTCGTGGCATGAAAAAAATTATACATGTTCCAGAGAAAAAAGAAAGTGGTGTGTGTGTGTGGTTATGAGTTGATAAAATGAATATCTTGCAATGAAATAGCCATTTGTAGTTTTAATTGGATTCTAAAGATTCTAAAACTATCGGTACTTGGAAAGATATTACCTATACAGATAAGCATCCCAGAGTTAATATGTGCAAAAACATAGGAAGATTTTCATTCTATCAAACTCACGCGGTTCTTTCTTTCTTTTTTTCTTTTTTGTATACTTCCCAAAAAACACGTTATTGCGCTGCTTGAGATTTTCATAGCAAGTCATGGATATATCATGTACATACGTTTTGGTAATGAGCATCGATTTTTAAAGCTCATAATCTTTGAGCTATCGTAAGATTTATATGTGAGAATCTATAACTATAATAAACAATGTAAAAAGAATGTTATTCACGATACAGATTAGCACCGATCTAAACTTATTATTTATAAATATGCTTGAGACAATGTCTCGACAACAGTATAAATTTGATCGAAATGAGGACGTTTCTCTGGCTCGTATTCCCAGCATCGTAACATTAAACGGTATATTTCGTCGGGTGTATTTTCTGACGCTGGCATCCGATAACCTTAAGAGGCATACAAACAAATATTCATTGAAGTTTGAAGTAATGGTAAAAGGGAGATAATAATAAGATTATGATGTAAATATTACCTGCGTCTATTTTTTCGCGAGCTTGACAATTAGTCATTCCGCTGTACGGATTTCCACCTTTAGAAAATATCTCCCACATTAAGACTCCGTAACTCCACACATCACAAAGTGATGTGTATTTACCTGTAAAAAGTATTAGAATGAAAAATAATAAAGTCGCACATCGCATTATGATTATGATCAGAATTCCAAGTGTTTATATGCTACACAATATTTTTTTCAAATACCGAAATTTAATGCCTCCGGTGCGGTCCACTTAATTGGAATCTGTTTCATACCATGTGAAACAATGTACTCCTCTTCTTCCCGCGACATTCCAAAGTCTGATATTTTTACTATCGATTCGTACCCTAAAAGTATAATTTATCGTTTCTTGTGCTCTTATATCGATAATTCTACTAAATGATCCTTATGTTGAGTAAAAACATGTTCGCTTACCAACGAGGCAATTTCGAGCAGCTAAATCTCTATGAATACAATATTTAGATTCCAAATAGCGCATACCTGCAGCTGCATCTTTACACATTCGAAGTTGTTCTTGTTGCGTAATGGTACTGGCATTTTTTCGTAAATAAGTTAACAAAGAACCACCTGTCACACATGTTTACTTGTTATCAACACATAACTACGTTCCACGACTGAACATTATTTAAAGAAATTTATAATGGTCAATATACCGGGTACCAGTTCCATAACAATCATAATGGGTTGCTTTTGAACGCAAATTCCAATAAGCTTTACTATATTCGGATGATCATATTGTTTCAATATTCGTCCTTCTTGCATGAATTTACGCTTTTGCTCGTCTGGTAATGTTACTTTGCAGGTTTTCACAGCTACCTCAGTCTTACAGGTCTTCAATTGCGCTTTATATACATCTCCAAAGTTACCCTAAAAATGCACAATTGAGTACCTCATTTCAAATCAACCTCTACGAACTGTTACTGAAACTTCGATAAATCAGTATAGTGTTAAGGTGTTGTACATCATATGGTACTCTTAAAAGATTAAAATAACTTTCTCTTTCTTTAAATATCAATATACCCGTCCTATCTTTTCTAGAAGAATTACATCATCGTTGTTAAGTTCCCAACGTTCACGTAAAATTGGTGTTTTTAGAATAGCTCCAGATCGACTGGTTACAGGTAATCCGGATAACCATTGGTGACCGATTAACTCTTGAATCGATGGAAATGTTGGACCTTCAAATCTGTAATGTCCCTAAAATTAATACGAATATATTTGCTTCCGTTCTTCTACAAAGATTATACCGCATAATAACAGACAAAACTCCGTTGCTTACTTCAGGTGTGGTTTGCACAATAAAATGCTTATGCCCATCCCAGCAGACGGATAAAACGATTTGGCATTCGTCGTTTCTCGTTGTTTCACGTACTAAAAAGTCTCCTTCAGTCACGAGCAATCTCACAACTTCTTCCCTCGGCAGTACACCATGAAACCATTCCTCTTCCATCAGATCCCCGTTTCCATTTCCCTTCTGATTAGTCGTTAAATGGGAACTTCCGCGGAATGGTACCTATAACAATTTGACATTCATATTCCATCTGGTAAGATGAAGAAGTTACTCTTACCTATAACATAAGAAATCATTTCTCTTTCTGCCTATCTATTTCAATCATTGTCTCAATCATTACCATTTAACGCATCACAAGTGTTAGTTTAGAATACAACCTAGCGTAATTTATTTGTAAAAAATAAATAAACATGCTTAATGTTAATTATCACACGCGAATTATTATCAATTTTTGTAGACGTTTTATGATTTACACTCCATCATATTCGTGATATACGATGTTATACGTTGTATATATGTACACACGTAATAAAAAAAAGAAGCAATCACATATTAAAGCGATTACGAGTAAAACATGTTTACACGTGTACAACAAACGGGTAACATATATGAAAAAACATACAACTGGTAGAGTATTATCTGCTTTTGAGGTAGGACCTTCGCTACCCGATCTAATCGTTCCATCTTTTGTGTCGTTTATTAGCGGTAAAGATTTGAAGGGACACCTAAATATTGTCATAAATCGTTGATTCCTTCGTAATGTAAACAGACCAATGTCTGCAACTGTATTTTTCTGCAAGGGTAGTGGTGCTAACTAATATTAATCCTCCAGAAAAAAACAGTTTTACATTTGAAAACTGTTCACAGCACAGTAAAATATATGTATATAACGTTCTTGAAAACGGGTACCCGCGATATTTATAAAAATATTCACTAATATTCACATAATTCTAATTACCTTGCTAATAGAGGGTGAATCGGCATAAGAACTTTCCATGGAAAGATCATATCCAAGAGGTAATTCTTCACAACCTAATTCATTTAAAGCCGCTCTAATAACGTCTACTTGCCGTTGAAATAAATACTTACAATACGAACAGAAATACAACAACAATACAATATTCTTACTTAGATTCGCTATTATTCTCTGAAGGGTATTGGGGATTTTGTCGATTTTGTTGAGTTGCTTTCAAAGAAGTTTCCAATTCTGTTAGCCGATTCCTTAACCAATCTATTGTCAAATTATCTACCGTCAATTTATTTGGCAACAATTTCCCCGAAGTATCGTCTACGAGGTTCTCGTCAAAAGTAAATCTAATCGGTGATACTGGTCGCGTTCTGTAACGAATATCAACAAATTTTTAAGATCACTCTTACTAATTCACAATGACAAAAGTCACTTTGAAACGGATACCTGTGCTTCCCTATAAAGTCCCTATATTCTTCTACAGGTTTTACAGAATCCACAGCCTTTTGCATTTGCAGGTGTACCTCTTGAAATTTATCTGTTGTAAAATCAGAATACTTCACTATATTCTGAAGTACGGTTTTCCTATTATGCAGAGAACAGGATTTTCATTTTTACACTTATATTTGTAAGATACATTTAGAATATAACACACACTGTACATTGTAATGATTGCTGATAACATTTACCTCTTATATAACTCTATGTGTTGGCATAAAATTTTGTATAAAATGGATTAGTGACTCATAATGCAAAGCGAAGAAATACATGATTAATCTTTACAAATTGGAAAACAGTTACTCTTACCAGGATGTTATAAATTCTTCGTGAATTGCTTGTTGTCGATGAAGTAAGCTTGGTAAGTAACAAGTTCTTAAGTCATGTTCACATTCTGTTACAGCACCCAAAAGTAACACATATTCATTATGTGTAAGATGAAGTTTTCTGCAGGCATTTTGATATTTTTCTCTTACTTCGTCCAATTTTCTACCAACTCTGCCCGCTAAACAGACATTATGATTCACAGCAAATAATTTTAAATTAGTAAATAATACAAATGCTTACACTTGATGTAATATTCTTCAAAGCGAGATCTCATCAGCTTGTACATTTCTAAATTCTTCTGATATTCCAATTTCTTCCTGGCAACATCTTCAGTTAACTAGAAGATCCAACAAAATTGTGATACGTAAAGCTAAACATACTACACCTTTACCATAAGGTTTTTATATTTCATATTTCATATACCTGATGAAATTGATTATTCAACCATGTTTGCTCCTCTTGATACAACTTTCTAGCACGTCTCCTTTCAGAATATAATGTGGCAATATGTTCAACTACTATAGCTTCAATGGAATCTGCTTGCTGTTTGATTAATTTAGCAGTCTGATCAATAGAATCCATAATATCTCTCCAACTCTACAATATAGTGCTAAGTAAGCAAATATTTCTGAGAAATTGCAGTGTACTTTTCTTAAAAAAAAAAATCATCAATCATTCATCTCGATTTTGAGGAGGTACCTGTGCTATGAGACTACCAACAAGATCCTCATTGCGTTCGATTTTTTTTCCCTGCATCGTCAGGGAAGATATCGTCGAAGCATATTCACGATCTGATTTAACTTTAATCGTTAAGCACCGTCTCATCGTTTCGAGAAGCTTAATCTCAGCATCTTGACGGGCGAGTAACGCCTCGTGTGATGACTGTCCCTGTAAACTCGTAGAAAAGCCCATTCCGCTTTGCTTATGAAACCAAATGTCGCCGTCTTATCTTCTTTGGACGTGTCACGAACAAAAATTCATTCTTACGCTAAACGAATGTAATGACATTAATGGTCATTGACATAATGGCAAACAGTCTAGTGAACTTCAACAAGTCATTCATCGAAATATGTACCGCATCGCGAACACAAGTTTATGAACACATTACTTAATTAGACCCCTATACATCCTTACATTCGCTCAGTTGGCTGAGATCAACATTTATATTTATACAGACCTCAAACTGCAAAAATCTACTTTTATTCGTGAAATCCAGTCACGAAACATTAATTAAGATAGACGGTACATTCTATTCGGATGAAAACAGAAACGAACCGATGTACTTAAATTTATTGCGAACGTATTGAAGGCTTGAGAACCAGTAACCTGTTCATTTCTGTAGCCTAAACTATTAATATGTTGTTTCAATTTTACAAATATACATAGTCTTTTCTTATTATTAATATGATAATAAACGAGCTTAGGGAATATCAATCTTTCGAAATGCATCGTATTCTGTTGATCTGTAAACTCTATTATCGATGCTTATAAAGTAAAAGACTATAGGTTCGTCCTTATGAAAATTTCGTTCGAGATACGCATGAACATACGTTATTTGACTACCTACTCAGTTGCATACGAGGATTACAGAAGGTAAGGTTATAAGCGTGTTGAAAGGCAGTTAATTCTGATTTAGCACGTAGCAAGATGATCAGAGATAAAATGTCAGGCCTTACATGGGCGACTTTGAAAAAGAATTCAATGGTAAGTGGAAGAACTGCTGTAAAATCTATATGGACAAAATAATGTATCGTTTAACATTTCTCTTTAGCTACTGCCACTGTTCTTCTGTATTGGAATGGGGGCACTTGGATCGTCGTGTTATTTATTACGTCTCGCTTTCCGAAGTCCTGATGTTACATGGTCCACTAAGTCAAATCCTGAACCATGGAATGACTATTCGAATAAGGATTATAAGGTATGCTGTTCGTATATTAACAAGGATTATAAGATAAAAACGAAACGATTAACAGAATAGGAAATATTAAAAATCGCACCGACAAGTTAACTAATTTTGATTATTATTTTGAATATTTGATCATCAATTACCCAATTTTTCATTTTTTATTTTCAGTTCATAACAATTCAGGATACCTCTAAGTTCAGAGCTGAACCTCCGAAGTACTAAAAGCATGTTCTTTGTATATTAGTATTAATTGTAGATAATTAAATGATAATCGAATTGTCCCATTATTTATATTCATATTTTTCGAACAACCGTCAATAATGTAGATGCAAATTATATATAAGACTTGTATTACTCTACTAAATATAATGTACAAAGTTGAAATAAATATGAAATAAAAACATTTGAATAGCAGTAAAGTTCAAGTTACTTATTTCATTGACATTGTAGGAGCCAAACATATCACACATTGTTGCACGTTTTAATTTAACATTTATTATTATTAGTTCCTTTTTCACAGAAAAGTTTTACAAGTTGTCGCGTTGAGCGAAAAGCACGACGGTCAAAACATATCATTTATAATTAATTAATTATAATTATAATTAACTCGTAATTATCAAATATAAAATACTTTCAATAGGTAAATAACAAGGATGATTAAGAACATTGATTACAGAAAAGTTCTAAATAATGTAACAGGACATTTTTATCGATTGCGTACGTTAAATTACCGAACGTATCGCAAAAGAGCGTATACATCACTCGTAAATTATTTGCAAGTCTTTTTTATCTTTATTTATAAAATTTGTTCATTCGAATGGGATATGTGTGTGTGTGCGCGCGCGCGTATGTGTCTACATGCATACGGATAATATGTATATTGGGTTGGGCACTCATCGGAAGTTGAAGTTTTAAAATTTGGAAAACTTTCCTCATTTTGTTTCTATTATCGTAGATAGAAGAAAACAGCTATTGACAGTATATTTTTAAGAATAATATGCATTAGTGAATATGACTGTTTTCTTCTGTGAGAATACTGAGCATACTGATTTCTGTAACATCGCGTGGAAGAGGGACAAAGAAAATTTGAACGGTGCCGCCCTGGACAAGAAGACCGACTACGTGTTAAGAAGCACGTGACACATATCACATGTAGTGATTAGATTAAGATGAGTTTCAATTTCTTATAGTTTTTTAAGTAAGTACGTCGTATACGTCGTATTATATTTAATGAAGTATCGTTTATTTAGAAAACGGTATATAATCGTTTCCAACGTTTATCCTATGAATTACACGTGCTTTTGATTGCATCATTTAGAAAAGAGAGAAAAAGTTTCGCTGTGATACTGAATTTAGTTTGAATTATAATTATAATTATATAAAAGAAACATGGATTCAACTTGGGAAGATTTTTATAATAAACACCCACCACCCCAGGATTTTGTTCAAAGTGAAACATTGCTAAAAGCATTTGCGGAACGACAATTAAAAAAGAATACTAAAGTTGTATTAATAACGGTGAGTGTTCACACTGTTGCATGTGAAAATATTATTACTTTAAACTAGCACATATGAATTTTATAGAGTGGTGGTACAACAATACCGTTAGAACATAATACAGTCAGATTTGTTGACAATTTTAGCGCAGGAACAAGAGGATCAGTATCTGCAGAGTATTTCTTAGAAAACGGATATGCTGTAATTTTCATGTACAGGTAGGCACTTACAAAATTGTGCAAATGCTTGAAAAGGAAAAAACAATGCAACATGCAATGTACCATTGATGTGCCATTTATTTATTCATAGACTTAACTCTTTGGAACCATTTTCAAGACATTTTAAGGGACAAAAAATTCTTGATATGTTGGAGGACAATCGACAAGGTGAAAAATCTACAATTACAGGTACATGTGTAATACATGTATATAACATAATATAAAAGTATATATTAGCCTTATAATGTTCTTAATTCTATTAATTTAATTGGTTTTAGTCCTACCACAATATACAGAAAATTTGAGAAAAATATTACACAAATACAGAGAGGCTTTGGATCAAGACAAGTTATTGCAACTAACTTTCACTACCCTCTCAGAATATCTTTGGCTTCTACGATCTGCCTGTCAGGCACTAGCTTGTTTTAAAGATAAAGCAATTTTATATCTTGCAGCTGCTGTATCAGATTTCTACATCCCATCCAATGAATTGGTATATCTATTTGAAATTTTCTATTAAAAGATCTTAAACTGCATTTATAGGAAGAATATTTGTACAGAGAAACTTTATTCAATTCTATGTACATATTTCAAATTGATTTCTGATTTTCAGGCAATTCACAAAATGTCTTCCAAAGAGCCACAAACAATATCCCTTCAATTAGTACCGAAAATATTAGCTCCCCTAGTAAGTTTGTGGGTGCCAGAGGCTTTTGTAGTGTCTTTTAAATTGGAAACAGATGAAAATCTCCTAATTTCAAAAGCGAGAAGTGCACTAAATAAATATAAACATAACGTGAGTAATGTCTATGTAATTAACAGAGCACATTAAAGATACAAGCTATGTATACCTTTTGTGTACATACAAAGTATTTTCCTACAGTTGGTTATAGCTAATATGTTACAAAGCCGAAAGCAGCAAGTAACGTTTGTCACTCAAGAGAATAATTATGTTATTTCTCTTACTAATGAGCAATTAAAGAAAGGTGAAGAAATCGAACGGTTGATCGTTAATGCACTTGTTGATAAACATCAAAGTTTTCTACAATCTACTGTGAAAGATAACTGACAAACCCTTGAATGAATGTATTTTTAATTAATAAACTGCATTTTATTGTAAAATATATGAAATAAATATGAATCAATTGTACTCCCGCTCGTTACCGATAATCAATCGTTTAGTACTATATTAGTACATGTTGCCATACTGGAATATTTAAGAGATCAATTAAAAAGTATTAATTCTATTTCTATGTTATGTATAATAATATTATTTACATGGCACACATGCACGTAGATTGAAGCGCTCGCGCTCAAACGTTTATGTTTATTTAACTTTAAGCAGTTATACGTCGATTTAATTCAACTTGGACAGTTATTTTAATAAAACATATTTGGGAGTATTTTTTCTAAATATATATACAAAGAGGAGATGGCAATTTTAATCAACGATTAAAAATTCTATTATATTGAAGGTAATAGGGATATATCATTTTCTGAAACTTGCTATGTACATATTAATTTTATCGGTGAATTGTCTATCTGTTCCTTCGTCCTGCGTCAATATAAACGTTAAGGCAGTAACGTCTTTTTGTTCTACCGCTGTTTGAACCGCCTCATTCAACATTCTGCAAAACCGTATTAATAATTTCGTTGAATTGCTCATAATTACTACAATACGCATCTTATGTTAATAATGAATTAAGCGTACTTACTTTAATTTAACGAAGTATTTTACTTTCAATTCATCTCTTACTTTAGGTAAATATTTCTTCGCTTCCTTTTCTTTATTATATTTTAAGCACTGATCTATGAAAGGCTAAAAAAAAAAAGAAAAAAAAGTTGAGAAAAAGAGAAATTTACACATTGTGTTATCGATAAATAACGTGTATTTAATACTGTATGGATGTATTTCTACACGTACCTCATAACCAATCGGAGATTTTTTACTTTTTGAAAATTTTTCTAGCTCATCCCACATAGCTTGTTCTGCTAAACATTGTATTCGTAACCACCAATATCTATGAAAATAAAAGGAAAAAAAAAACAAAACATTACGTGTAGTGTTGACTGTCGATGCAGCATTCGAGGAAAAGCTTGCGAAAAGAAGTTTTAAGAGATACATATATAAAATACGCTGCTCTGTACCTTCGATCTGGTATTCGAAATTCTGATCTTAACTTGTCAGCCAACTTTAATTCATTCTGCAAGAGTAATATTTTGACAGTGTCATGAAGTGGTTTCCCAATAATCGATTCATGTAATGTCTCTTCCACAGATTTTTGGTAGCGCAATAGTTTTATTTGTTCCTCTGTCAAAGCGGCATTGGTATCGTTACGAGCCAATTTGAAATTTTCGTGTGCGGATTGTAATAGTGCTTCTCTGGACGTTATATTCTAAAAAAAAGCAAATTCTTATTTGTGTGAAACAATTAATGACATTGATATATATGCACGCGCGTGTGTGTGTGTGTAAAAGATTGGTTACATTATTAGTTTTCGCAAACCTTTGGTTGGTAACTCTCGGTAATAAACCATATCGCTTGAGAATGAAAATCATCATATTGATTATAAATATCACGAAGTGTTTTCCGATCATGATTCTGACAATATTTGATATATAAAGCCATTGCTAAGGGGCAGTGCCTTATGGACGTCTGTGTGGAATCAGTGAAAAGAATTTTTAGATATTCTTATATATCTAAAATATAGGTAGATATTTGTCGATCGATTAAAATCATTCGAATAATAAACTCTGTTCACCTGAAAATCACCGAGCGGCATGTTCTTTCTGAGATAAGGTATTACAGTATAAACTAAATCGGTATTTCCACTTTCAACGGCTTTACGCAGCGCAGCCTTTTCTTCACCAAGTGTTAATAAAAGCGGTACTTGGTGATGTGCACGTGGTTCATAATCTATTAGCTGAAAAAAATATGTAAGAATTATTTAATAATTCGTTATTTCACAATAAGAAAGTATCTACTTTAATAGCTAGGTGTTTTCGGCCGCAGTCGGCTGCTCTTTTTGCAATTTCGCTGTAAGAAACACCCAGTGCGTATCCTAATTTATCAGCTATTTCTTCAGCTATTTGTTCCTCATCCAGCTGCGTTTGCTTTACCTAATGCAAGAAAAGTAATAAAAATGATTAAAAAATTGTTATTCACGTGTACGTTTGAGGATAGAGCAGGTGGAGCTTAGGCATAAAAGGTATTACTTTATAGCAAGCCCAATGCGCTAATATTCGGCTTTCCCCGTCGATTTCCGGTAATTGAAGATGCTTTGCAATTTGTATACTTAAGTAGTAATGTCTTCTTGCAACGAGCCTATCCAATAATACTTGACTCGTTAGAACGGTAAATCTATCGTCGTTAAGAATTATCTTGTCACGTGTAATTATCAAGCCGTAGAGAATAGTATTGAAAAGTATTGCGTGTTAATTTGAAAGGATACTGTGTGTACGTTAATGGTATTCCAATTTCAGGGTGCCTGACCGCGTTTAGAACCCTTAGGGTTCGACACATGTTAACGTAATATTCAGGATCAACTGCCTTGGTAAATCCTTTTCCAAATTTAGCTGCCTAAAATCACCGACAATATACAACACAATATAGACAAACACTTTCTCCCTCTCTTTCTCTCTGTGAGGTGCGTGCACGCACCATATATGTGTATACATAAAGAAGAAAAGAAAGAAGAAAATAGTAAAAACTATGTTACGGATGTTACCCTCATTAAGAGTTTTTGCGTTTCAAAATGAAATTCGTGACTAGCTCCATCGATGCAAGCTTTTATCGCCTCGTCTAATTTATGTTTCACTAGATCTATATAACTATGAGCTTTGTGACTTTTTTTTTGAAATTGTTTAGAAGCTTCGAGTAGGTAAGACGCTGGATCGGTTGAATTAATTCTAAATATCTTTTGAACGACATTTGGTACTTTCTGTATCATTTCGTGAGAACTGGCAGATAACACGCGTACACCATCAATCTCTGTAATAAGATGCACCGGACCATCATAAGTGTATAATATAGTTTCGGCTGTTCGGCCGATTACCATTACGGTACTGTTCCAACTGCATACTACAGCTTCTGTTCCACACCTGAATACATTTGGACGTGAACATTAGCAAGTCTATTTTGGAAAAGTAAAGATACCGAAAAATGAAGCAAGCATATTACTAACCATGCTATGTCTCCTAATGGTTCTTCTTTTATGTTTGTATAATGTTCGCAATATTTTTCTTGAAAACTTACAGCACCCATATACAAATGACCAGTATTGGTATAAAGAGCAATATGACGATTGTTTCCAGATACAGCCATAGCTATCACACTGTACGTTTTAGTATGCCTGGTAAAAAGATTTTCCTAAAAAATACATATATATAAGTGGTTTGATGAAAGGGTAAAAACGTGTTTCAACTTATTTTTTCACATTCAAGCTTTTACACCATACAAACGGTATGCGAGTTGCAATCTGATGCGACTGATGTATCACAAATATTCCTTCTCGATTTGATAAGACAACGCGAGTTTCTCTGTCACAGGGTACTAAACACCAACAGTCGATCGGCCCTCCGTATCCTGTAGAAAAGAACGAAAGATACGAAAGGTGTACGTTTGGTTGTTAACGAAAGGATACGGAAGAGATAATTTAAGACACTTACTGGGAATTTCGGATATTTGTCTAACTTTTGGTTCAACTACGTTGTTTACTAAAAATATACGATTGGTGGATGTTAAAACAGCAATGCCAGTTCCACTGTAACTTAGAAAGAATTTTGCTTCTACAACTTTAGTATCTTTCACCTCCTGTGAGAAAAAAGTTTGATAGACGATAAGAAAGATTGGATAGATAGAAAGTCTACACAGTTTAAGCAGGGAGAAGGAACGTGCGTACATTTCCCATAGTAAACTTATGTTGATATGTACCAAACATGTCATATATATGAACCATGCCATTGTCTTGTACGCATAATAATTCTTCCTGTTGAGACCAACCAAGATGAACTAACTGCCCGCTGCTCCACTAAAAAGAGAAGAATGAGATTGAGCGTAAAGACAAATTTTGTAGCATCCAGCAGAAGATAAAATAATTTGGAAATTAATGTTTTCGAAAGATTTACTTGCAACTTGGCTGTTAATTTTCCAGAAGATGTATACAAATATACGACAGGTTTATTTGCTCCTTGAACTTTAACCAATTTCTTGGGATTTCTGGTGACAGCAATAGATCCTCCGTACGGAGCTGACACTAATAAATTGTTATTTAAAACTTCATCTTGAAAAGACAGCGGATACAGTTCAAATTTCCTATAAAATAATTTTTCCTCGATAACGATTTCTCCTTTTCTTTTTCTTATTTCTAACAAAAGGATAACCTCTTATCGTCATTACCTAAAATAAACATCTCGACCCAAGGGAGACCAATCCGCAATTAACATTGCCGACATTTTTACGAACTTGTATTTGTCTCAAACCAAGCACTAATTCATAGATTTCACTGTAATCATGAAGAAGGATAAAGTTAATGAAAAGAAGATGGGTGAGTTTCGAATTGATCCTAGGATTCTTACTCGACGGAATGTAATTTGTTCTCAGCACAGTCTGCATTACACGAACAGCGGTGTATAATAATGTAATATGTCTGTTAATTTCACAAGGGACAAACGAAAATGGTAAGCGTTCGATTCTTCAATGGTCCGCGTACATAAAAATCGTTGTACGTTGTGCGAATACAACAAACGTCGGAAAGCTCGATTATCGTGCTTATTGACGAGAGAGATGTGGGGAGAAGAGATAGATAGATAGATAGATAGAGAGAGAGAGAGAGAGAGAGAGAGAGAGAGAGAGAGATGCATTTATAAGAAGGTTCCGTGAGCAGATTGCATTCAAATCGGTTTTGCACATTCAAGTGAATAGCATAAACAATTGACGAAGGATATAAAGAATGCAAAAGCGGTAATGACTGAGCTAGTAGCGAAGCGAGATGATAATCAGATTGGTGGAACAGGAATCGTAAGTGGATTGGAGAAGCGAATAGAATGCGGTAACGGTTTAGGTTGCGAACTCAGAGGCACCGAACGAACGTAATGGTGTGGCAGTGAAAGGTTGCTCGACTAACATTCCTACGTTCATCCGATCACATCTCGCGTTCTTTCCCGGACTGCGTGTACTACACACACACACACACGCGCTCGCGCGCAAAGAGAGAGAGAGAGAGAGAGAGAGAGAGACGTACTACACGAGTATATGCTACACGTCCACCTAGCTTGCATATATATATACGTCATATTCTCGATTCAACAGTTTTACAGTTTCCCCTACCTGTGAATCGGTCGCCTCGTCAGTCGAAGAGGTTTCTCCAGGTAGGTAAGATAAAGTGACGCGGGGCCCCGTTACGTCCGAGTCCGCGAATTCTCTGGAGAAGGGCAAGAGAACGCGAGATCCCCACCTTGTTTCGCTTACAAATACGATTTTCCGTCGACTTGATCTCTTAGAGAAGTTGTTGGTTTGTCGAATCGGTCGCGGTGCGTTCCGCTTCTTTCGTTCCTTTCTTGGAATGTCATAGAATAGAATAGAATAGAGTAGAGTAGAATAGAATAGAATAGAATAGAATTGAATCGAATCGAACCGAATCGCGAGAGAAATCGAAGAGGAACACGTAAGCAGAAGGAAGGAGAGGAATCTGGCTGGCTGGCTGGTTGTCTCTGTTTGAGGACAGGCAGAGGGAATTTTTCGAGAGAAAGAAGGATGACGAAGAGGTATTGTTAGTGTTATCGGAGGTTGAAGGAGCTGGTGTTGCTGATCGATCGGCAATTGAGGCATTACGGATGGTGATGTGGTACTTGGACAAGCGATAATACGGTGGAAAACAACGAATATGAGAATAGCGTAAGTTGCCGTTTTGCTAAAGGAAGGGGATGGTATCGCGAGGTGAATCTATTTTTCCAGTAATCGTACGATTTTATCGGCGGATTTATCGAGCGGGCAGTTCGCGATGCATCGCGGGAAACGAAACCGAGTTACTTATTTATTCTGCTCGTCTCGAATGAGAGGAGGAAGCGAAGTGAGAGGAAAAGGAGTGGAAGGTGAGACGGATAATGGAGAAGCGAGGCCGGTAACGTTAATCGAGTCAGTCCGGTCAGCATAGGTGTTTCCGACTTGTTTTTCCTCCCTGCGGTAAAGCAATCAGCAAGCAGCAGCGTGGCAGAGGCAGAGGCAGAAATCACCGTTAGACGTTCGGTTTCGAACCTTCCCACGTTTTCCGCACTAATATGTATATCGCCGGTGTGTTTCGTTTCTCGCCGGCTCCGCTCGGTTTCGTTCGTGGTTTGGTGATGATAACCACCACCGGAGGGAAAGTATCCGAGAAGGATGATGACGCTTGGTCGTTTGCAGGTGTTATCTGGCGTTGATCGTTTTCTCGGTTGTCTCGACGAGGCAAGCAGAATGGATACCTTGCGTGGAATTGAAGCGGGAGCTTCAGGTCCCGTGCAAATGTGCCCTTTCCACCAAGTACAGCCGCTCGATCGAGATGAACTGCGATCGAGTGGTGTTTACGCGGGACATCGTGGAGGGGCTGCGGGGACAACCGATCGTTTCTATCAGCCAAAGGCAGAGCGGGTACCAAAATCTACCGGAGGATTTACTGAATTCGAGCAAATTGAATTTGAGGAAGCTCGATCTATCCGGAAACTCGATCCACAGGTTAATGGACCGGTTGCTTCAAGCGCACACCGGATTAGAAGAATTAAGACTGGCCGATAATCTGTTGGGCGACAGCCTGAATCCTATATTCTCTAGCAACGAGTTTCACGGCATGAAACAATTGAAGCTTCTCGATCTAAGTAGAAACGGCCTGCGAAGTATCGAAGAGGGGATCTTGAAGGGATGCGAGAGTCTCGAGCAACTTTACTTGGACGGGAACAATTTGACGACGGTGCCGACTATGTCGCTGAAAGGGCCAACCTCTATCAGAGTGCTCTCATTATCCGGGAACAATATTGGTGCGTAGCGTGTGCGTAATATCATTCCCCTGGCGGTGTTCGCTTTATTTTCTTCTTCTCTAGGATCAGTTGCACGAGCCGCTTTCTCGATGGTCGGCGAGTCGGTGTTGCGATTAGATCTGAGCGAAAACGAGCTGTCTCACATGGAAGACGACGCACTTTCGGGGCTCGAACGGTTACTCGTGCTCAATATTTCGCGCAACGATCTTACTCGTTTCAACAGCGATGTTTTCAAAGGTAATTTCAAACGACACAGTTCTCCCTTTCCGCGTACGTATGTATGTAACTACTACTAATCACCGAATCGCGCGGCCACTTTTAGGGGCATACAATTTATTACAGCTGGATCTGTCCACTAACTTTCTTCGAGAATTTCCAAGCGACGCGCTCAGACATCTGACGGAGCTGAAGTTCCTCAACGTTTCGAATAATTTGATCGATGTAAGTGAATTAGAACTAAATTAGAGCGTACGTAGGTACGTACGTACGTACGAACCGCTTAACAAGCGCATGGTTTATGGTTCCAGGCGATCGATCAGGCGTATTTGTCAGGTGTGAAGGAGCTGCAGGTACTGGATCTTAGCCGAAACAACATCGGCCGTCTCGGTGTTAACGCGTTTTCGAGCTTGTCCGAATTGACCAGGCTCGACTTAAGCTTGAACGCGTTACGAACGGTAGGTGAACGATATACCCCCTCCACCAGCAGCTTGCCCTGCCCGTTCATCGAATCCGTGTATCCGTTACAGATCGAGGAATCCTCGTTCGAGGGTTTGACCAAGCTGAAATGGCTTTCGTTGCAAGACAACAACATCCTGCTGGTACCGGCCACCAGTCTCAACAGATTACCCTCTTTGGCCCATCTCCACATGGAATTCAATCGCGTTGCGGCTCTCCCGATCGAGTTAATCGAAGCGACCGCCTCCAGTCTCGTCACGTTGGTGCTTACTCGAAATCTCGTGAGAGAAATACCGGCTGGCTTGTTCCAGGACTTCGAGATGCTGGTCAGCATCGAGTTATCCGGGAACATGCTAACGACCATCGGCCCTGACACGTTCGCCGGGCTGGAGGAGACGTTACTCGAGCTGGACGTCTCGTCCAACAGGCTGACGTCGATCACCGGCGGCGAGCTTCTCTTGAGAAAACTCCTCTCCCTTAACCTGTCCGGCAATCGGTTGACCCGTATCCCACCGGAAACGTTCCAGCGTCTCGATAGCGTTCGATATCTGAACCTGAGCTCGAATCCACTCTACGGTGGCTTCCCACCGGTCTTGCCCTCCACCGTCCTCGATCTCGACGTCTCGCGTACCGACCTAAGAATCCTCCCGGCAGTTTTGCTGCTAAATCTTCAATCTCTGGAAAGGATATCGCTCGGCGGTAACAGACTCGAGAAGATTGAGGAGGGGACGTTCGAACGTCTGGAGAATCTATCGAGGATCGACCTGTCCGCGAATCTCATCGAACGCATCGACAACGGAGCTTTCGTCGGCTTGAGCAACCTGTACCAGCTGAACCTGCGGGGCAACAGGTTGAGCTCGTTCGCCGGTGAACACTTCGACACCGGCACGGGATTGGAGTTGCTCGATCTCTCGAGTAACCGAATCGATCGATTGTCACCGACCGCTTTCGCCATTCATCCAAGATTACGAGAGCTCGATCTCTCCGACAATCGATTCCTCCATTTCCCGAGCGAGTATCTCACTCCGTTGCAATTCCTCGAGCGGCTCGACTTGTCTAGGAACGGGTTGAAACGCGTCGGCGAGTTCGCCTTTTCTCAACTCGGTCGTCTTCGGACGCTGAATCTCGCCGCGAATTGGATCGAGTCTGTCGAGGAGCTGGCCTTCCACAATTCGACACAGCTGCAGCTGCTCGATCTGTCCGGGAACGGGATCGAGGGGTTCAGCGAGAGAACGATGGAAGGTCTGCTCCGTCTCGAGCATCTCGATCTTCGGGACAATCGTTTGTCCTCCCTGCCGGAGACTATTTTCGAGCCGAGCAGAGTTCGATCGGTCGAAAGCATCGATCTGTCCGGGAATCGGCTCAACGAGATCCCGATGAAATCCCTGCAGAGCCAGGCTGGATCCCTCTCCAGGTTGAATCTCGCTCGAAACCTGTTGGTCGAGTTGTTCAGCCAGGAGGTAGCGAGCAACGTGAAGGAGCTCGACCTCTCGGACAATCCTCTGAGCGAGAACGCGGTGAACGGGTTAGTAGGGGAGGGGAAAATTCTGCGCTCGTTGAACCTGGCCAATACCGGAATCGAACGTCTAACCGTCAGGCTCGAGACGCCGTTCCTGAAGCGGCTGAATCTCTCCGGGAACCGGCTGACCGAGCTCGGCTCGAGCATCCTTCAACGCGCCACCATGCTCGAGACGTTGGACGTCTCGAGGAACCGACTGCCGGATTTCGCTGGCGCGATCGCTGCCCTCGAGTCCCTGCCGGCCCTTCGTTCCCTAGACCTTTCCGGCAACCGACCGAGAACGATCAACGAATCCGTCACCTTCGACCGCCTCACCAGTTTGCGCTTCCTCGAGATCTCGCATCTGCCCGACTGTACCAGGATCGAGAGGAACGCTTTCAAACCGTTCGCGAACCTTCGCTCCTTGTCCGCCCACGATTATCCCAAGCTTGGGTATTTCGACATTCAGGGGATCCTGAAAGGGATGAGCAAGCTGGAAACGTTGGACATCGAGATCAAGGATTCCTCGGTGGGCAACGAACAACTATCGATACGCAGTCATCCCCGACTGAGAGAGGTGATCCTGCGCGGCGACAGGCTTAGAAGCGTTCTATCGAGTTCGTTGGTCGGCGTGAGGGTGCCGAAACTGACCGTCGGTATCAAGAACACCTCCGTCGACTCGATGCCAGCCGCCCTCTTCTTCCCTGTTCCCCGCTCCACCGAGCTCCACCTCGATATTTCCCAAAGCAAGTTCACCACCCTATCCGCCCAATTTCTTGCCGCCCTCGACGAACGAACTGGCACCGTTACCATCAACGGACTCGCCTACAATCCAATCGTTTGCAACTGCCACGCCAGCCAACTTTGGAAATGGCTCAGAGCGGCGAACCACAACCACCGCCACCATCCTTCCAATCTCGTTCGTTGTTCCGCTCCAGTCCACCTCGCCGGATCCAGCTTGACCAACCTGACGGAAGATATGTTATCCTGTAATAACTCCTCCTCAACCTTTTATCTCGATCGTCGTCCCGGCGCGGTTCACCACGCTGTTGATCGCCCCGGTACCGTAGCCACTCCCTCCAAGCCCACGCCGGCAAACATTTCCGGAACGGACGACACCCTCATCATTGGCATAGTCGCCGGCGTGGTCGCGTTCATAGCTCTGATCGTGATCGTCATCTGCGTTTGTCGATTCAGATGGTCCGGAAGGGTAGACGAAACGCGTCGCTTCGCCGCGGCAATCGCCGCCAGCACTATTCCGGACGCCTCCGTCATCAGACCAGCCAGCGCCTATTCCGGCAAGATCAATCATGACGCTTATCTCGGATCCTACAACGGAGGATCCACCTTGGACCGTGGAAATACCGCGATGCCCGCTACATCCATGCCAACCACACCTGTTCAAATCATGCCTTTCCTTCAACCACCGATCCACCTTATGCACACTCTTGTACCACCTGTTTCCGCCCACCCCCATTCCCACTCCCAGTCGCAGGCTCAGTTACAGCAATTCTACGGATACTGCGAAGGTTCCTCTCTACCTATCTACGTTACCTGTTCTACCACGCAGGATACCAAATGCGACAGATAACTCCGATCTTTTTCCTCATTCTACGCCTATACCTCATAATTTACTCAATCTTCTCGTTTTATCGTTAAACAGCGCACATATTTTACCAGCACTCTATCGAGAAACGTTCAGTGCTTGAATTTTATCCTCTTCTTTCGTTCCGCGACCAATTGCCAACCACCTCTCTCTCTTCTTCTTTAAATTGTTCGAGATTTTCGTCAGTAGCCCATCTGAAACGAGAAATGAACCCTCGAATCACTGTACGTATGTACTTTCATGCGCATGCGCATGCGTATATCGCATGGCCGCATGCGCGTAACCTTAGATTACAACGTGATGTGTATTAATATGTATAAATTAACGTGGGGGATCCTTTCCTGGCTATAATTGTAATTAATCTTAAGACGAAATAAATATATACAAACTAGTCAAAGCTCTTTATATTTCTGTTTAACACGATAAATCGATATTAACAATTTACCTAGTGACGAACATATCCAAGACAATTGACAGACTACTAAATTCAAACCTTTAAAAGACGCGCGCAAATCAGACGCATGCGCAAACCGAAAACCCGACATGCTTACTATACGTAAAACATGTGTATATTGTTATATATTTTAATACAATTACATATCATCGTGTATCGTTGTAATATAGCGATAACTTTATCTACACACGTCCTTTCTGTCCCTCTCTCTTCGATACGTCAAAGTCAAAAAGAACTGCTTATTAGAGCAGAATGCAATCATTCGGTGAATTCAGCAAGAAAGAGAATGCATTAAAGTTTAAACCTTTTACTTAACCGATACTACTACGTAAATATATTCCGATAGATATTTTTTAACCCCCCGTTAATCTCGCATCTTCTATCGATTATCGAAACGTAGCAATCGAGAAATCGCTAATATCGATATACTACGCATTTACAAGTGTGTGAGCAGGCAGCCGCGTATTTACGCTACGCAGCAGCGTGCACAAATAACGTAACCTTATTTCAGGATCGTGATATGTCACAAGTACGTCTCCACCGCATATTGGTATACTGATACGTAACTGCGTGTACGTCTAAACGTTCGTTAAAAACAACGAAATATTTCATCTTTCTGTGGAATAAAATGCGTTTGATTCTTAACGGTACGCCGGATCGAACGATATGAACTAACATTCGTCATTCGGATCCTGTGCATGCGTGCGCGCGCGCGCGCACGCACGTGTGTGTACGTGTATCTTTCATACGAGTTTCGTTACTTTATCATATTTTACGATTTTTCAAACGTTATTCTATTGTTCGTGAATCCGTTGGATATGTGTACAAATTAAGTGCACTTATGTGTAACTACGGTACAAGACAAAATGACTCTGATCGTTCTTGATCAATCGGTTATCGCGAAACCGTTTCGAACGTAGAAATGTCATGTGGACAGATTGAAAGTCTGAAAACGTGGATTTCATAACGTAACTACACGACAAAATGTAATGCAAAATTATATAGATTTAAAGATAAGTAGCGAGAAAGAGAGGCAGCAAGGTGAGGAGAGCTGTAGAGAAAAGTGAAGAAAAGAAAAGGCAAGGGAAGCAAATTATCCAAAGATAGAAAATTACATACCGTCGCAAGCAAAGGGAAACGATTCTTTGACAATGACTTGATCGAAAGGTGACTTTTCAAACTTGCAAAAATCTGTATTTTACTTTAAACTCGTTTTAAGAAGCTGCATTTTACAGGCCCTAACTGTACATGCCATATCATGATACAACCTTTTCTCGAGGAAGGTGCCTGGTGTTACTGGGTTCTCTCTGTTGGAGCATTGTTATCCTTTCTTGGTCTCATCGTTGCTTGCATATGTAGCTGTCGTCGTAATGAGAACAAGTAATCCACCATAGATTCTTATACTCATCCGTGTAATTTAATGTTCTTTAAACGAATAACATTGTGTAGATTCCTACTAACAAAGATAGAATCAAAGATACAATACTTTACGTTCAAACTAAGAATCCTGTTTACCGTATCGTTTACAAGGATACGTTCAGTTGTAATTCCTTTAAATAGGAATGAATTTCTTGGCCTCGCTGGAATGGTAACTCTAAACGATTCTGACAACGACGGCTTTAACAGGATACCGATGACAGATGCCCTTCGTATAGCGACTCAAGATGCTGTTGACAGCGGAAAAAGGTTCCTGCCATCATAAACTTGATTCGGCAATATGCACTCTCGTTATTAAACGTAGATGCTGCTATCCTAGCATAATCTTTCATAATGCTCGATCTTGATCGCTATTTGCAACGCGATACAAATTAGTACTGCATCGCGTGATAATCTTTCTGTCTTGATACTGAGAAATATTAACGCTATGCACATAGGTCGACCACCAGTGCCAATAGAAGTCTTCCAGATATTCCCAAAGACAAAGAGAAGAGACAGGAGAATGTAACTGTATCCGTGCCTCAAGATATTTATGAAACCACCGAAGTAATTGGTGATCATTCAGAACTATACGCGACAGTACGGGACACAGGTACAAATTCGTTCCATCGAATATACACATTCTACGTAACATACGCACACGCACGCGCGATCCTTCATTTTTTAACCATGTATACTGCATTTAACGTAGCGGTGAAGGAACATGCGTCTGAACTGGAAGCGCTACAACTTGTACGTCAAAATTCTTCGACTCAAGAAGCCTCGGACGATCAGTATTCAAGATTTGCAACATCACCCAATTCTGACAATGGTACGAATACAACAGCAATTATATCGTTGCAGCACTCTTTTCCTTCATTTTTGCCCGTCAATTTGCACTTTATTTGTAACCGTTTATATTTGTTTCAGTCGAACATCCATATGCTCAACTTCAAAATGTTCAAAAAACCGAGGCTAATCAATCGAATCGGTAATAAGTGCAGAGTCATAAGTATCAGTCTAAGATGATTTGTCTTTCTTGAAATATATCTTTGCTTGAGCGCGTACGTGCGTATACATTTTCTCTTCTTACATAAAGTTGGTAATAATATTGCAGAAATAATAATAATAATAATAATAAACAAACGATCGATGCTGATAAACCATCAACATCAACCTGTCAAGTTAATGGAAATCCTGTGGCTCCACCAAGAACTCGTCGATCTTCGTCGCACAATTCGCTTTTGTCCGCCGAAACCGGTCCCCCGCCTGATATTCAAGCGGCTAGTGCCATATCGGGGGGAGTACAAGCCAATCAAGATTTACCCTATATGACGCCGCCTTTATTAATGTTACTTTCTCAGCCACCTCAACTTCAGTCCAACAGTTCACCACATCATTTTAGCGGAGATTCTCAAGACTCGAGTAAGTATTCTCTCTCTCTCTCTCTCTCTCTCTCTCTCTCTCTCTCTCTCTCTCTCTCTCTCGTAAATTAATTCTTCGTCGCGTTTATTTGCATTTCTTTCTCCTTCTCATTTTCTACTCGTAGAAGGGTACACAAGCATCAGTGTGAGAGAGCCTTTGGCAAACATAATTGCGCAAACGAAGACTATTTGTCGCCAGAATCAATCCAGTCGACCTCTCATAGATCCTCATTACGCGACTGTGTCGGATGACTCTGGTATGTGTGTATTTCACCGATACCTCGTTCTATCATATTTGATCGATGACGCGCGCCTTCTTTTACTTCATAGATGAAATGTACGCTGCCATTGACGAACAAGATAAAGTGTATACCAGTGGTAGCGAAACGTACGCTCAGATACAACCGACGGTGACAGAGGTTCAACGAGTCCAAACCGAACAAACGCTATTTTCTCGAGCTCCGTCACGTTCCGAAGATAGTTATCCTGCTCCGCAACCACCAAGCGTCGACAGTTTACGGCACGTTGCGCATGCTCATTCCAGGCAAGGTAAGATTACAACAATAGTCCTTGAATTTATGCGACTATCGTTACATATTCACTTTACTGGAAATCAACTACTCGACTGCAGCTTCGTCCTCGAGTGCCAACAGTTCCATCATAAACCCTGGCTCACCGAAACCGGAAAAACGTCAAGCTAATTCTCCGTTACCACCTCCACCGGAAGGAATGACAGAAGTATACGCCTCGATCGAAAAAAGAACGAAAACTGAAGACCGTTTCAAGTCAAGTTTATCCAGTGGTAAATCCTTGGAGGACATGTACGCGAAGGTGATGAAGAAGAAAAAGGACGTAGAATCAGAAGAGCAAAGCGACGCGCATTCCAACTCTCACGGAAGCCTCCACTCGGAGGTGTTGATTGTTGGTTCCGGTAGGAAACCGAGTCTCGTTGAAGTGAACAGGATTTCATGGTCTAGTCACGATTCTATGGAAATACAAAAGAAGGAATCCGATTTCGTTGCTGCTGTTACTGCTGCTACTACTACTACTAGTGGTAGTGGTAGTGATGGTGGTGGTGGTGGTAATGGTAACGGTAATGCTAATGGTAATCTTCATCTAGACACAGACTTGTCGTTGAAAGCATCCCCTTCGCCGTCCTCTACGAGAATCACCAGCGAAGAGGCGGATACATCGAACCACGGCTTTCTGCCAACCGGCGACGATCATGGCTACGAAGCGGTGAACGCCGATTTAGCGAAAAAACATCCAACGATTCGCGAAACCTGCGATCCGAACTACGAGATATTGCGACCGCAACAACGTGCGATGGACGTTATATCGGATTACCAGCAGCAAACTAACACCACCAGCGCCGTCTTGATCTCTCTGCGAAACAACACGAATTTACCAAACGCTTCTTCTTACTCCGTACCGTTCAAGCACCGACAGATCAGCAACGCCAGCAGCGAGGATCCTGGCTACGAGAAAGTAAGATTGAGAAAAAGGATCGAGATCGATCAGGACACGGACTCGGAACCGAATTACGAGAGTATGCCGCACGACGACTCGGCTGAACCGAACTACGCGTCGGTTTGTCGACCTGGGGACAGCGATACAGATCCCAACTACGAGTCCGTCAATCACGGGGATCCCAATTACGAGAGCGTGAAATACATGAGCGTGACTGGTGGCACGGAGGAACCACCGTACGAGCAAGTGAACGCTTACAAATCCGAACAGAATGATCGCGACGGATACGAAAAAGTCAAGAGGCAAATGTTGTTTAACGTCGATTACGAAAAGATACATCAGCATCAGAATCAGGATCAAAAGCAGGGTCAGAGTCAGGATCAGGATTGTTCTACCGGACCGATCAACGGAGATACTGATGATGAACAGTATGTGCAAGTGTAATCATTCAGTGCAATTACATATCCCTTTCTTGACCGCGCGCGCGCGCGCACGCACACACACACACACACCCCATTCTCTTTTCTCCTTCTCTATCACTAGACATTTCCCACACCTGTGTTTATATACTCCATCATATCCTCGTTAAAACAGATCATTCGTCCTGTGATGACTACAAATCTGTTTCTTTCCTTTGTCGATTTTGACAGTGCATTGAAACGGTATTGATCAATTATTTTAGGTTTGACGCATTGACATATACATATACGGGACACGACATTGTAACTTTATATAACACACGCGTACTTGCATCATGGAAATCATTGATATTTTTCACTCTCTTCACTCTGTACCCTTCCTTTTCTACCACCAAATTTATCTGGACTGCGCATTTAACACACCTAACTATCAATTAACTCATCATTAACTTATAATCAATATTGGTGAATGCTGTCATTACCACTGTTGAAAGTACCGTTTGCACGCGAATCGCGATTAGAGAGAGAGAGAGAGAGCGAGAGAGAGAGAGAGAGAGAGAGAGAGAGAGAGAGAGAGAGAGAGAGAGAGAGAGAGAGAGGCGGTACTTCATCCTGTCGACACAATCGTATTTCTTCTTTTTATTAATTTTCCTTCTTTATTCCATTCTTGCCGATGCCCCTGTTTCTCAAATAACTGTCAAATAACCCCATAAATTTGTAAGTTTTATGTATATAGTATTGTGCATCATATACGTGAGGTTTATTGAACTTTTGAACGTCTAGAACTGTCTGCTTGATAGACGAAGAGACGTAAAAACGGTGTCGTGATTAAACGTGCTTGCTCTTCAATACAACGATTTTTGTATTCTTTTATATGTATTTTTCACAAAATCGAATGTTTTTTGGTAAAATAAAGAGAAAAAAGAGAGGGGGGAGGGGATGAGAGTGTTTTCTTAAAAACCTGAGAATAGGAAGTCGATTTGTTCGAAATCGAAATGGCAAGTATAGAGTATGTCACAAGACACACACAGATCATCATTTACATCCTTTATTATTTCCCGTTTTGCTTATTACTGCGTGGGGAATTTGTATATTGTCGAAGATGCTCGTCAGCGTTGTTACTCCCTTCGTTATTTCGAACATGTTAAGTATGATCCTTTGCTCCGTACTGTTACCATTGTTATACGATTCTCGTTTCAACGCAAATATCCATACGCTTCATCCATTTCCAAGAATTTTATTGTCCATACGAACGGGAAACGAGGATCAGGAATGAGAAAAGAATTGGACGCGTGAATTTTAGTTGGCAACATAGCAATCGATCAAACTGTATGGTACAGTAAATAAAACCGGTGCGTTGTTACGTTCGATTTTCATGTATATAAATACATATAATTCAACTATTTATAAGAATAAATGGCAACATTTACCGCTTTCGGATATATACGAGCGTAAAACGATCGCTTGAATTCAATAGTTGGTCGTAAAAATTCTCATCGACGAAAGTATTTTTATTAGGTATTTTGTAGACAAGTAACATATTGAAATTACAGCATGATCGGAAATAATCCAAACGTTAGTTCGTTGAACAAGAGTGACCAGAGCTGATATAGAGGAAGCAGAGAGAGAGAGATGGTAAAGTAGAAACCGAGCGCGTACATCTTAAAG